CAGATATCCAGCTATATACACCCAGATAGCCAATATTGCGGTTATATCCCAAACACAGTAGTCAACAGATGAATTTTGGAACAGAAGTGGTGCGTTTTTCTGGCATTATCATTGGTTTATGACCATGAATTACATAGTTTTCCTACTTTAGTAATGACCTCATTCCTCTCAAGAATGACCTTATTCCTGTCACCTCCAAAAGAATGTTCAGGAATGGTATAGACACAACCACATTATCCATTTAATCTACCGTCATTACCTGGGAAGAATGCTGTAAGTGCCATTTTTTACCCTATTTGTGAAGGGTTTACCTTATGCCTTTAAACTGAAGTACCTTTAAGTTTGTCGGTGACTGCCCCTTTCAGTACAGTGTACCTTGTAGTCCATGAAGAATACCATGTCATACTGTTGTAAATACATTTACTGTTCAGTATGTGCCAAATATCATTCATTGCAAAAATAGTAATGTATTTTTCAAGGCAATCATTACAAAATGTCTAAAATGTGCCATAATCTATGACAAGTTTTTTTTATATTTTATATTTTTAGCCAAAATGTCCTGTTATGAGGCCTTGGCCAATGATGATAACAACCAATAATATTAACATGAACTATTTCCCCCTGCTCTTGTACTCTCAAGAACATATGTTAATAACAGCATTTTTTTGTATGTTAATATTGCCATTTATTCTCTATTACTCCCCTGACGTTAACAGCTTGGGTTGGCTTGTCTAGGAGAAATTATTCCATGTGTTATTTATACCTTTACAGACTTGTTACAACGTAGTATCCAAATGAATTGAAATGGCTTTAATGTATGATTGTATGTTCAATTACTTGATACACAACTACGAGCAGGTGAAGGGTTAGACTTAAGCGTCATAGATGTATGGAATAAGAGTGGTTTGTCAAGGGATTCCATCCTAATATACCTCATTTGCATAAATACATGTTAGCTAGGACTATTTTGGCACCACATGGTTGAACAATACTGATTGTTTCACTTGTGAGGTTCTGCTAAGTTCAAAAACATTTTAGTTTTGTACAAATTTGGTCATTCAATAGTTATATTTTCTTATTTTCTTTTGGACTGTTCATAGCTTGAGATATCTTTTTTTTTTTATCTGGAGTTTATCCGAGACCAAATCGCAGTTGAGATATGTGAATGGGTAGAGGAATAAATGAATGTTTTGGAAGACAATCAGACTTTTTTGGACTTCTCAGGGGTATGGTGTTTTGAGTGGGAAAGCCCTACAGTGAAAGTGCTTCCTTGTCACGCTGAAGAACCAGGTTGTGATTTGTTAAGCGTCCTATCGTTCTTTCCCTTGATTTAAAACCGCGAAATACCACACTTTGTTATTTTTTACTGAAAGATTTTAAAATTTCTTAATCTCTGAGGCAGACCTCCAATAATAACTCACCAAATCGACGCCATGTTGGTGCCAAAATGTTTATATGTAGTATGAATGATCACGCATCCCATAATATGTCTAGTCAGCACCTTCAGCCACACCGAGATTTCATTATGGCTATCCAGAGTTTGGGCAGACTGGCTCTCACTGTCTGGTCCCTCACCATGGATATTATATGAAATTGAGGTTATTAGCTTGTCGTCACATAGGCTAACTTATTGTCACGTGCCATTAAGCATAATTTCTCATTATCATTGTGTTTGATTTGTGCTTGAGTTCCTGCGCTCATTGTCTGCTTCTGTTTGTGCTCATATTACTCATGTCAACTCATCCAGACTAGAAATGGACCAATAATTTCTTGTTTTGCATCACAGAAGTGTGACGTCTCCGTGAATCAGAGTCATTGTATCATTGTCATCATTAATGTACCTCAGGTCGGAACCCAGAAAATAAAAAAAATGGGATCTTAGAAAAAAAAAAAGGTTTTTTGTTTTCTTTCATTGGATGGTTTCTGCTCATCGCAGTAGGCAACTAAATGGATCATTTAGTGACATTCATTGACTTCAACTTATAACCTCTAGATTTCTTGGCAGGATAGAGCTGACTGATGAATAACCTGATGTCATATGTTGATATAGATGTAGGTACCACTTTCAGTGTTTGCAAATATGGCATAGCCACTGTGAATCGGCTGCTCAGCCACTGTGAATCGGCTGCTCAGCCACTGTGAATCGGCTGCTCAGCCACTGTGAATCAGCTGCTCAGCCACTGTGAATCGGCTGCTCAGCCATTGTGAATCGGCTGCTCAGCCACTGTGAATCGGCTGCTCAGCCATTGTTAATTGGTAAGTGCGGGGGTAACATATTTTTAAAACAGAACTCAAAGATACTGAAAATGTGTGTTTACCAAGGTTATGATGCTCGTGTGCTTTTTAGTAAGTATCCCAAAACACACCTATACTTCATGCATGTTACAGTTTTGGCCTATCAGATGAACTGAGGGAATTATAATCCATATCATCTGGCAGATGGACTGAGGGAATTATCCATATCATCAGGCAGACCATGTGCACTATAATCAATATCAAGAATTGTGTAAACTACAATCCATATCACCTGGCAGATGGACCATGTGAACTACAATCCATATCACCTGGCAGATGGGCCGTGTGAACTACAATCCATATCACCTGGCTGATGGACCATGTGAACTACAATCCATATCACCTGGCAGATGGACCATGTGAACTACAATCCATATCACCTGGTAGATGAACTGTGCAAACTACAATCCATATCACCCAGCAGATGGACCATGTGAACTACAATCCATATCACCTGGCAGATGGACCATGTGAACTACACTCCATATCACCTGGCAGATGGACTGTGCGAACTACAATCCATATCACCCAGCAGATGGACCATGTGAACTACAATCCATATCACCTGGCAGATGGACCATGTGAACTACAATCCATATCACCTGGTAGATGAACTGTGCGAACTACAATCCATATCACCCAGCAGATGGACCATGTGAACTACAATCCATATCACCTGGCAGATGGACCATGTGAACTACAATCCATATCACCTGGCAGATGGACTGTGCGAACTACAATCCATATCACCCAGCAGATGGACCATGTGAACTACAATCCATATCGCCTGGTAGATGAACTGTGCGAACTACAATCCATATCACCCAGCAGATGGACCATGTGAACTACAATCCATATTACCTGGCAGATAGCCAACCATGTGAACTACAATCCATATCACCTGGCAGATGGACCGTGTGAACTACAATCCATATCACCTGGCAGATGGACCATGTGAACTACAATCCATATCACCTGGTAGATGAACTGTGCGAACTACAATCCATATCACCCAGCAGATGGACCATGTGAACTACAATCCATATCACCTGGCAGATGGACCATGTGAACTACACTCCATATCACCTGGCAGATGGACTGTGCGAACTACAATCCATATCACCCAGCAGATGGACCATGTGAACTACAATCCATATCGCCTGGCAGATGGACCATGTGAACTACAATCCATGTCACCTCGCAGATGGACTGTGCGAACTACAATCCATATCACCTGGCAGATGGACCATGTGAACTACAATCCATATCACCTGGCAGATGGACCATGTGAACTACAATCCATATCACCTGGCAGATGGACTGTGCGAACTACAATCCATATCACCCAGCAGATGGACCATGTGAACTACAATCCATATCGCCTGGCAGATGGACCATGTGAACTACAATCCATATCACCTCGCAGATGGACTGTGCGAACTACAATCCATATCACCTGGCAGATGGACCATGTGAACTACAATCCATATCGCCTGGCAGATGGACTGTGTGAACTACAATCCATATCACCCAGCAGATGGACCATGTGAACTACAATCCATATCACCTGGCAGATGGACCATGTGAACTACAATCCATATCACCTGGCCCATGTGACTACATATTACCTGGCAGATCCATAGACCATGTGAACTACAATCCATATCACCTGGCAGATGGACCATGTGAACTACAATCCATATCGCCTGGCAGATGAACTGTGAGAACTACAATCCATATCACCTGGTAGATGAACTGCGAAAACTACCACCCATATCGCCTGGCAGATGAACTGTGAGAACTACAATCCATATCGCCTGGCACAGACCATGCTTTGTCAGGGAGTTTGTTTCTTTGTCAGCCTTTGTCAACCACTGGTTGAAATGGCAGGCTTCAACCTTGTAGCTGAGTGAATCTGAAGTTTTGGGCGCGGATGTCTTAAAAGTTAACTTAAAACTTAATTAAACCTACATCGAAATTTGTAAATGGTCCCTTATCATTTTGAAGAGTGACATGTATTATGATTTTCTCGCATGAAAATTGACATGTGACAACAAATAAAATTCCAGACGAGATTCTGTTCAGAATCAGTGATTTATGTCCTCATCCTGTAGGAATCATCTGGGAAAGTTACACAGGCGCTTCGCACTTTAGAAATACAGGGTTTGTAATGTTTACTGCGGGAGATCCCACCAGGAAGCGCCTGTAAAATCTCGTATAGTCCTCTGGTTATCGGGCTGATGTTCAAGTGTGCGTGTATTTTAACCTTCAATGGGATATGTTTGGTTATGTTCTGCTCTGTGTGTTCACTGATATGTGTGCTGGTTAGATAATATATAAGGACAAACAAAAACTGCTTCATTGACAACAAATTTAATAACACCACTCAATATAACATATAACATCATTCCTAATACATCTTTCCCAGAATGGTCACTGGAATGATCATCAAAATACATCAACACTGTCCCTGTTACTAAGATAGCTCTGAATATCAGTACCTCGGCACTCTTGATATCGTCCCTATGGTTTACCTATAGTTTATAGAAACCTCTTCCTGTAGGTATAAGCCTTAAACAGTCCATGTAGTTAACCCTCTCCCTGCCCTCCTAGAAACTTCTTCCTGAGGTATTAACATTGATAAAGCCCATGAAGTTAACCCTCTCACTGCTGTCCTCCTAGAAACTTCTCCCTGTGGTTATAAGTCTTGATAACGCCCCTGTGGTTAACCTCTCCCTGTCGTCCTAGAAACTACTTCATTTTGGGTATAAGCCGCGAAAACGTCACAGTATTTAGCCCTCTCTCTGCCGTACAAGAAACTACTTCCTGTAGGTATAAGCCCTTATAAAGTCCCGGTAGTTAACCCTCTCCATGTCGTCCTGGTAGCAAGCGATCAGGAGCTCCACCAGCCTGCCTAGCTTCAGGCGTAGTTCCCGGTGCTTCCTCATGGCTGTGAAGATCTCGTCCCTGGTCAGATACCCGCTCCCATCCGCGTCCAGTTGCAGGAACACTCTCTCCAACGCCTGAGAACGAGGGAGGGTGAATGAACATGCTTATATCCCTTTATCAGCAAACTTCAGTGGATAATACGATTTTGTTACAACGAGCGTTTACACAAATCCCCGAAGGTACCTATGATCACGTGAACCCAGAAGTGTTGGAAACCAAGAGAAGCCAGTATCCTCAGTTGTCTATGATGTTGTCTATAGAAAGATTAGCATTAACCATACCAACTTTCATTCAGTATACACTACCAACTCTATCTGTTTGTTTAGTTCTGTTGTTTAACGCCACGCTCAACAATCCTGCAGCTATATGACGGTAGTCTGTAAATACTCCAGGCTATCCAGTTACTGATGGCAAGAGCATCAATCTAAGGCAGCTGGGATACGATGACAAAGTCAGCGAGTCTGACCTACCGATCCCATTAGTCGGCTATCATGACGAGCTTTCGTGGATTGCCGAAGACCAACTCTAACCGGATCTTCACGGGATCGACTTTAAGAACACCAGTGATAAAAGTAGGCCTATGCATATTTTGAATTTCTCCTTGATGACTTCTTGTGATCTATCAGGGTAGTACTGAAATAATAAGGGAATTTCAAAGGGTATCTGGTACCTTTGGTGAGGTGAAACGTGGTTCAACATCACCGCGTTTAAGACCACTTCGTGACTATAACTTGCATGCACGTGTAGATGGCTGCGTATGCTATTCCAGGCTAATGTAGGTGTTCTTGTGCTCGGCCACAGAGACTATCGGTGTCCTCCCATTTGTGAGAACTCCCAGTTGTGAGACACATTAATTAATGGTTCAGTGCACATAGGTGGTGTTTCCACATCCCTACAATGAAAGTGGGATCAGCCCAGTTCATTGATGAGTTGATTAATGAAATAGATTATCAAAGATTATATTTACACAGAAGAAATAGTTCATTGAATATTTTTTTTATTCAGAAGAATATGTAATTATGATAACACATTTTTATTGACTATTATGAAGTTTGAAAGTCATTTTGGTTTAAATGGAGGATGTGACGTCATCGATATTGACTATTGCATAAATATATTTTTAAGTACATATAAATATATACAGATTACATCAAATAAAACTATTCTCCAAGTAGTCATAATTAGAGACTTACAGTTGTGTGTGTCTAACAAGCTATTGTAGGAATATATATCAATCACGAGATAATGTTGAGTTAATTTCAGTATTTCCCTGTGAAAATTTGAAGGTTGTGTCTTGATGATATAATCGTGGACGGATTCAACTATTTTCTGGTTTACACAAGGAGTAAATTCTTTGTTTCCGTTCAAAAAATTATCCAGGTTATAACGGGTAGTTGATATCCACAAGAGCAACATGCACTGTCTATTAAATGTCTGTTATACGTATCGGCGTTTAGGTCGCTACATCCGAGCCTGAGGCGGCAGTGAACGATTTGACAAAAATAAGAGCCATAATTAAGATCAATATAAATCTTGTTTTCGGTTTTTGTAATTAGGTTTTAAAATTCTTTGAGACTGCATGACTCTTTGGAATTTGGTAGGGCATTCCATAAATTTATTGTGTCGGGTAGAAAGGGTTTGGCATAAGGGGCATTTCGACTGTAAATTTCAGAGTTATTTCTTAAACTATAGCTTGTAGTTTCGGAGACGGAATTAATCTGAGTAGGTAAATTAATTTCTCTTTGATCACGACGTTACCTACACAAAGTGTTTAATTATTAAAGACATTTACCTGAGTATGTAAATCAATTTATCTTTTAAAGTTTCATTAAGTTACCTCCAAAAGATTCAGTTACATAGCAAATCAGTAATTAGCTAGGGTGAATCCATTCTATCAGACAGGGGAGTATGGTGTGTTTTCGTTGTTAATTACCGACTCCACTGTCTCATAACTGGGAGTCTCACAACTGGGAGTTCTCGCAAATGGGAGTAGACCAGACTATCAGTAAATATCATACTCAGACACACCACTATGTGTACAGTCGAAGACTTCTTGTTTTATCCACAAGAATATCTAGGTCCTGGAAGGTACGACTTTTAATGTCTTCTGGTGTGAGTGAGTGAGTTAAAATATGACGTCGCAACGGCATTATTTCAGCCATATAGCGACGTGTAATGTCTTCTGAATGACGCTTGGGGGGTAAAACCCGGATATGCTGACAGTAAACGTATAACACAGTGACTCACTGATTTGGATTGCTTTCCTTTTCAGCATTTGTTTCCATCATCAGCATTAGGACATCGTTATTGTTGAAGGCGAATAGCCGTGTTTGTTCAAATCTATCCAAAACAACGCAATACTGACCTGTGACGTCACCTTGATGTCGAACGTTGTAAGGAACTCCTCATAGTCCAGTTCTCTCTTGTTGGCCCTGGCGCAGGCGATCAGCAGGGCGGAGATACTTCCGGCGGCCAGGTCCACCGGGCAGGCAGGTTTGGTGGCGTTCATGATCTCCTCCCGAGATATGCGGCCATTGTGGTTGCTGTCCAGCGCCCAGAAGTCACGTCTCAGAGCCATTTGTCTGCAATCAACAAGTCACACACGCCTGTTGACTGTCAGATCGACATCGTGACCCTCGGTCTGTTTGTATCCATATTTGTTTGTTATTTAACGTCACAACATTCAAGCTATATGACGGCGGACTGTACATAATTGAGTCTGGACCTGACAAACCTGTGACTGATAGTATGAACAACATTGCATGTCTGTAGAGATGAAGTTTCAGTGTAATATAGGGTAATTGGCATCGGCTTGATAAGGTATCTTTCAGTACATTTTCAACATCAACGGTTATATTTTCTATACATAATGAAAACCGGAAATGTGGGCTGATGGCTGATTAGCTTAGTTCCTGTGTAGGAAGAGTCTACAAACACGTGTTTGTTGCAAACTTGACTGCGTGTGTAGTTCCTGTATGGTGGTTGGTGGGATACTGACTGACTGAGTTTGGTTTTACGCCGCTTTTAGCAATATTCCAGCAACATCACGGCGGGGGACACCAGAAATGGGCTTCACACATTGTACCCATGTGGGGATTCGAACCCGGGTCTTCGGCGTGACGAGCCAACGCTTTAACCATTAGGCTACCCCACCGCCCCTGGTGGGATACTGCAAATGGACGCACGCCAGTAGGAAGAAAGATAAAGAAGAAGTAGGGTGTCACGATCACTATGTGTGTACTTACTGCATGATGATAGACGGGATCCTCCAGATGGACGCCAGTAGGGTGTCACGTGACACAAGTCCATCTTTGTCAACCTCGATGTCTCCCAGCACATCCTATGCAATTAATAATATATACACATGTATACCTGGAAAGGCCAAATAGTCACTCATTGTGTTATATGAATCACGAAAACAAAATGCTTTTGAATTTTTGAGCATACATTGAACACCGCATTGTTTATTTCAGCTATATAGCGACTCATTTTGGACATTAAAACAAGTTTTGTTTCGGTTACTTCAAGCAGATTGTCCTAAATCAAACAAGTCCGTTCTCCAACAGGAATGTTTGTCAGTGTTTGCACTAACAATAAACGTTCCAGAGAAGTGCCAATGGAGACGCGTTATAAGTCATGAGAGTCAACTCAATTACTAAAGTACTGTCGGAAATAGAAAAAAACTGTTTTTTGGCTGTTACTCGGTATCCCTAAAATTGACAAATTTACGAATAGCATATATCGAAATAACCCACATCGGCCTAACTGGGCATTTAGTGGGATGCGTAAAAGTATATCCAGAAATGCATGTTTACTCGTAAAATCGGGCAAAACTTAGAAAAAATACGAATAGCTGCTCAAAACAATAGATCGGACTATAGATGGCAACTAGGTCGCTCAGCCAGGTATGACGACGGACCGTCGACTCACCTGGCATGAAATGCACGTCCTGCCTACAAGCACAAGGGGGCATCTCAAAGATATTTAATGCTTTTTCATGTGTGTTGAATATGTCTCATCTATCGATCATAAAGTTTATGTTGAGATACGTAAAAGGGTATGATACCCATGGAAAAGCTTAAATCAGTCATCGTATTAAATGTCTCAAAATATATAGGTGGCATGACCACCCGAAGATCCACAGGTCTGGATATTATTTGTAAATTGTTATGACATGCCGTTTGCTTCCCAGTTTAATTCCTAAAGGATTATCTTATCTCAGCTTATATCTCTATCCAACAGCCCGACCCCAACCACCGTCAGCGACACCCGTCCTGGATTTTGCTTTTGAGACGGCCCCTCCTACCTGTTTCTTTGGCAGCTACATCTTTCATAGTTTCAGTATTAAAGTTATTATGTTTTACGTCTGCTATCGTTTATAATGAAGCTAAGTTTAATTTCAAAATGGGCATTTAATAATTGTCCTTTGTAATATAATATCATCGCACACTAATGTGCATAAAGCCATGGCCTGTTCCAAATAAGTCGCTTTGTAAGTCCAAACCCGCATTTCTAATTTCTGCACTAATCTGTCCTCAGTAAAGTCCTTTTTCTACGTTTCCTATCTCCCTACCACTGAGACCGTAGTTAGCCCGAACTTATTTTAACAGATATTTCACACTTACACATATTAACTACATAAATTGTAGATATCAATGCGACGCGCCGTGGCGTACTGTAATACTGTTTAAAGCGGCCTTAGACGAAACCTCACTCACTCACAGACTGACTGATTCTCTAAACGTTCACTTTCTGTCTGTGGTGTGCTTAGTCCAGTCTTGGTTAGCTTACGTTTACTTCATGTAGGTGGAATTTTGCTGACCTTGCAGAAAATGCCGTTTCTTCATACATTTTCTAAACTCTCCTGCGTGTGTGAAACCTTTTTACCATATTACCGTTAAGACATGACCATGAGAGAGAGAGAGAGAGAGAGAGAGAGAGAGAGAGAGAGAGAGAGAGAGAGAGAGAGAAATTTTTTTTCTTTTTTTTTGGGGGTGGGTGGGGTGGGGGTAACCAGTTTTGTTCTGGGGAGGTAGGGGTATCATAAATTTTGTACACTATTACTAGGGGGATCACTTTCTTTGTACATAAATTTTAGGGGGGTGGGGGTGGGGTCATTCAGATTGTACATGCTTCTCCATACAAATCATCATCATCCCATCATCACCTGCCATAAATTATGAACGGTCCCTACTCTTAAATTGAAACCAGCCCTTAGTCATAACAATGGTTCCGAAATTGAAAATCTTCATAAAACGTATTTGTTCAGAGTTACATTGCTTCTATGTCTGCCCAGAGGGCCACGCTATTTCCAACAGAGTAAGTAAATCATGTAACTCTCGAACCACATAAGTGATCCATTCCCCCTCAAGCCCTTACGAATCCCTTCTCGCAGAGTGGTGCCCCTTAGTGCTACCAGGATCCTCTGATGCTGGGTCTTACCTGCCACCTACATAAAGGCGAAATATAACTGCCATAATCTTCAAAGCGGTATTAAATCTGAACTGCCATCTCATAACATAAGCTTACCAGAATGTCCTGCTCTGATCCCCTGAAACCTCCAGCCTCCAGAACTTCACACACCTCGGGCAGCGTCAGGAGCTGCGCGCCATGTCTGCCATGTTTGTCCAACTCCCGCTGAAACACCCAAACCTGATTTTCGTACCACGAGTCCGCCATTTTGTTCTTTGCCATTTTTTCCTATTTTGGCATTGGCAATAAGCGATATTGGTATTTTTGAAGTTCGAATTTCTGAAAAGTGAGTCACAAATAAATCGCAAAGAGAATCAATGTGACCGTGAAAGCGAACGTCCCGTTATTATAATAATGAACGAAGGATGTTACCTCTCCCTTTTATTGCCAGCCTCTCCCACACCACCTGACCAGATAACACCTGTCATCTTAACATCAGAGGGTGATTTACGGGTGGAATAGTTAACTATACAAACAGTGTTCTCCACCCACAATAAACCCCTCTCTCACAGTTGTAATTTATCTGAAAATGACGCCTTGCAGAATAAGACTGACAGGTGCTTGCTCAGAAGTGTTCTACATAAGAACTAAGGCTTATGAATGCCATTTAATTGCTTTTTATTCGGAATATTTTTCTGATGTTCTCTGCTAGGAACTGGAGATTCTTTTTTCTTTCTCTCTGTCACAACCATGTATGTTCAATAAGTCAATACTGAAAACTTCGCGGATGCTTAAATTATTGCATAATATAAAATTAGCAGTAGAAATTCGAACGGATTATTAATAATCGGTAATGACATGTAAGATGTTCGAGAAAAGGGTAAGCATAAGATTGAGATAAAATGAAATTGATGTTCCGGTGGATATGTGATTCCGTAGCCGACCAGCTCTCAATTTTAATACTGAACGTTTAGTTGACTGACAAAACTCGTGGAAACATTGAAGTCATAACAACATGGCTAGTTTTGTCACGGTTATTCTTAGGCCACATAAAAATAATTTCTTGTTTCTCGTTACCACCCAACCCTAAAATTTGGCCCAACCGTAATGTTTTATTTTAAATGTGCGTGTATACTGCCGGCAGACTTCCGAAATCCGTCTCAGTTTCCGGCATTCCAAGTTTTCGACTAACATTGTATAGAAAATCAGAAGAAAAAAATAATTACTAAATATTAAAAATAAAATCCGCCCTACCTGCCCATTTTAAAAAAAAGTGATGAGAAAGAAGAAATATATTTTATGTGGCCTTAAATATCTTAACAATATTTATCAGCATTATACATTTCATGAAAGATGGTTCGCATAAAAGACAAACGTTTGAGATGTGTGAGCTTTTAATGGAATAAAACAGACAAAACGGATATCGTTTTGCATTTGAACTACAAACTGAATCAGAATCACCTTCTTGCGACGAGTGTTCGTCTACGCGCGATGTATTCAAACAGTAGAACTAGTCAAAACAGATATTTTGGTCCAATCAAATCACGCGCTGGCTTTGGCCCGATTCAGTCATCGCAGACATACACTTCCGACATGGCTGGAGTAACGAAACTGGTGAGGGAAAAATCGCCAGAATACTGAACAGTGTTCAACACATGCAACGCTTTGTGTCAATATGTTTTGCTAATTTATTCGAGAGTATCTCGCCTAGTGTTACCTGTTGTAATGATCAGCATTTAGCGAGATAACTTAGGGGAACGAAATGTCCTTGACGGTGTCACTGTCAGTAATCAGGTTGGGGAAACGTACCGATCGGCCTATAATAGTAATTTTCTTCTTACATGTATACTTACGTTCTGTTATATTTTCATTTTGATTGCATCAGTGGAACATAATCAGTATTTGAATCAGTGGTTGAGTGATAGATTGAATGAGCAGTTGTTCAATACTTCTCAACATTAAATATAATTACTGTTAACCAAAATGTCTAATCTTTAAAGCAATTCATTACTTAAAGTAATTGTAGTTCACATCTCAATCATATGTTCAGAATTTGCTGAAACAACTTTGCGATCAGCCAGTCAGACTAGCTGATCTATCCCACCTAACAACCATCATCAATAATATGTCAGTCAGTTGTAAGTAATTATTCTATGTTGCAGACAACAGGGCTGACAGGCCTGGCAGTAGCCAGACATCCTCACCAGGTGAGTAGTAGGGTGTATGACCTGATGGACACTTTACACAACTTGACATAACACAGATTGACATGTGAAAGTCCAAGGTTAGCATATTTATTAATAATTGGTCACAAGCATCTTAATGTTTACATGAACCTACCAAACAATTAAGAGAAAATACTTACTATCAGGAAAGTAACTAGGTAACACCTTTATGAGCAGTTCAGTTAACAGGAGACACTAGCATGTTTATTAAAAATACATCAACATGTGGTAAGTCAGGCAATATTTTTGATATTGTTATATCTCTATTCTATACTATACATATCTTGTACAAGTTGTAGACATTATGCCCCCAAAGCTTCATAGCATTCCATTTCTTTAATCTCCAACCTGGTACTGGATTTCTGTAGCTTGTGAGCTTGAACCAGTCAAAGAGACTTTATTAACTAGAGTTCAGTATAGGTTTGCATTCAACCTTGTTGGCCGATTGCCGTTCAATGTTTTGCAGATTAACGATTTTACTTAAATGGACTGAACTTCTAGCTGAAACAGATGGGTTTTTTTAGTATTATTAAGGTGGGAGATAAGTCCTTATCCTGCTAGGCATATCAGTGTATATGTGAGTACTAACAGTACTAACAACAGTGACATTAACTGAGTTGTTATAGAGTAGTGATACTGTTACTTCCCCTGAATCATGAAAATTTGAATGCAATGTTATATTTAGTATCATGTCATTCGAACTGGGTTCAAATCTTTGATAGCAAACAGTCAAGGATTTGTATCAGTGAAATGGAGATATAATACACTGGTTAACCAAGGATTTGGAAAAGTAAGGTATGATGAACTTTGTTGCAGTCATTGAAAGTGTTGTATGAAAAGACACTGAGGACTTTACAGAAGATGCCTTCAAATGCTGGCTACCGCAAATATACAGAACAGATTGTCAACGACAGGATGCATATTGTGCAGACTGTAAGTAATGAACAACCGTTACTGTTACCTGATATGCCAGATTTGTCTTTGACAGTATGTGGAGATTGGATATCCATATGATTTTGTACAATAATTTTCTTAGTATGAAAGTCAAATAAATAAGTCTCTGACCCATGTTGATAATACACAGTGGCTCAAGTCATGTGGGAATTCCAGTTTAGAATAAGTCCCCAATAACCAATACATGTCATATAAACTAGGCAACTACATGGACAGTGACATTTATCATACTCCAGTGGTATGTTGCTCATAGTTTCTCATGTTAAGAGATCTTTTACAGGCCATCAATATATAGCTGGGAGTTGGTTCTTCCCCGTGTTAAACAACAAGCTGAAGTTATTGTCTAGTTGTCATTAGGTCTAAAGTTTACTTTTGTGAGAGTTTCTCAACTGCAATTTGTTTATGTTGGTAAAAAATTCCTTGTAGGAGACTGATGTTGCCAAGCTGGAACAGAAGATAAATGGTGGACAAGTAGAAGAGCTTATTTTGCAGGTATTGGTTCAACTAAGTAATGTTGTACAGATATAATTGTTTACTTAAATGTTGAAGTTGAGAGTCTCTATATTTTCCATATCCTGCCAGGCTAGTGGTGATACAATCATGCCTTTGATCAAAACTATCTTTCTATTAGCAACATGCTAATCATCTGTTTCAACCCCAAAACTCCAAAGATTAGACCTCTGCCCCTGTATTATGTATAATTACTGTTAGAACAGTAACGCTGAAGTATATTGCAGTCCGTGTAAAGAAGATGTTGAATGTGCAGTGATCAGGTGACTCCATGCCCAGCTTAGATACAGGCGACATAAATTCCAATGGATTTGATAAGATACACACATCACTCCATGGCGAGTTTGCTAGATGTGCAGTTATCTAGTGGAAGTTGATTATCAACCAGTTTCAGCCATATTAGGACTACCTCTCTGGCCTAGTGGATCTAGTGTCTGCGCAGAGAGCAGTATTGTGGTGTTTCATTTCCAAACCACGTCATACTGATGGACATGAACAGATTGTAATTATCATTGCCCTAACTTGCACCTGGCTTTATGGGAAGAATACAAGGACTGGTTGGGTCAGAGTCCATGTGCTATGTTTGAGGAGGGTATTCTTGTCAAACTGTAGCATGTCAGTGGGCTTGCACCGAGCAACCTGCATCAGTTTGGATTATTACAAGCAGCTATATGCACACATGCATGCACAATGTCATGTAAGTTAACATTACATTATACCTTTGAATATATAGACACTATTGATTGTGATGAGTTGGAGACTAAGGATTGGGATGAAAGCATTTTTTTACTATATATTCTATCTCACCTCTGCCATGTTAAGGGGGTATGTTGCATTTATTTCTGTGGGTTACATCCTGATAATGAGAAATCACAAACAGCTTTGCAGTTCAAGGGGGGAGGATATGAATAATTATGATTGTTCATGCTATTTCATGAGTTATGTGTCTGTTTTCAGGCTGAGAGGGAACTCATGTTATCGAGAAAGATGCTACAGTGGAAAGCATGGGAGCCTCTGGTTGGGGAAGCACCAAAGAATCAATGGCAGTGGCCCTTGTAACTGTAGACACTAGACACTGATATCAATATACATAGAATAATATACATGGCATCGACATCTGATCCTGTTGGTTTTTGTGCTTGCAAAGTGAAGACATTGCAGCCACTGAAGAGCTCCATGATGACTCGGGTTGAATCATCTGTTTCCTGAACACTGGGTGTTTTGAACATTATTAACATTATCTGTGAGCGAGTGTGTTTGTCAGAATAAAATGTTCCAATATATAACTGGATTGATGTTTTTACTATTAGTCATATTGGAAGTACTCCTGCCATATTTCATCCCATCACAACTCATACATGATAAGTCTGGGATCGTGTGCTCAGGCTCACTGACTTGGTTGACACATGTCATCGGTTCCCAATTGCGCAGATCGATGCTCATTCTGTTGATCACGGGATTGTCTGGTCCAGACTCGATTATGTACAGACCTCCGCCATATAGATGAAATATTGCTGAGTGCGGCGTAAAACTAAACTCACTCACACATGATAAGTCAGTACTCTAACAGCCAGACTTTCCAGATGCCCAATAACTCTTAAAGGGCATTAGATTAAGATAAACCAGTAAAGTGTATAATATTTTGAATTCACAGATCCATTATGTTATGATACTGTTGAAAATAATTAATGTTTTTGGTACCTATTGGATGAATAAAAAGATTACGGGAAAACAGTTGATATACAAACATATTTGAGGACCACATTCTGTGTATTTCCGTCAGTGAACAGGAACAGATTTTTTTATGACAGAAAACAATTATTTGTTTGACTTCCTTTTTAATGAATTCCTCTTGTTTCTTTGCATCTGATAAACTGATTCATGTCTTGTGATCATATGGGAGAAACACATACTGTTTTAGTACAAACATATTCACAGGAGACTATCAAATTGAGATGACATAAATTCAAGTTTACAAAAGGAGTTGGGTAGTCTAGTGGTTAAAGCGTTCACTTGTCACGTAGAAGACCCCGAGTTTGATTCCCCACATGGTTACAATGAGTGAAGCCCATTTCTGGTGTCCCCCTGTTGTGATATTGCTGAAATATTGCTAAAAGCGGCGTAAAACCCAACTCACTCACTCATTCTCAAGTTTACAAATCATAGGCAGATCCAGAGGTGGGGTGCAGGGGTGTACACACCCTCTTTTGTCTTGAAAGTTTATTAAATGACCATTGAAACTCTCTTGAAAATAAGTGTGCACACCAACCCCTCACCCCCCTTTATCAAGAGTGTCCACCCCCCCTTTCTAAAAAAGCTGCAAATATAAAAGAGCGTAACAGTAGTGGTAGCAGAACTCGGGCCAAATGTGTATGAATGCCATGAATTGTACTACCTTAGTAACATTAGTGCACAGGCAGTGACAACAAGGATTTGTAATATTATGAATCTGGGGTTCAAACCTTAGCATATCTTAGCACAACGAGATGCTATACTGCACAGTACATTTTGTAACCCCTCTCCATTGAAGAGAGTCAAAGAAATATTTTTTTTGCATGAATTGCTAAGAATGCTACAAAGCTTTACCTTACATAATACAAATTTCGAAAGTTAACCGAAAATAAAATTAACTGGAAACTTAAATTGTTTGCTGGAATTGAAAAAAGTACAACTGTTGTCAAAATACCTTCAGGTGCTGACATTTATGTTTTTAGATATCAATAAGCAAAATATAAGTGAAATAAGACATTTAATTTTGAATACCTTAGCTATTTTTACATCTAGGAATTGATCATATTGTTAAATAAAAAGAAAATATATTCATATAACCAAGGGAGACTATGCATTTAAGTTTTTTTAGTGACGTTCAAGTGCGTGAAGTCATGACAAACGACCAAGTTACCTCCCTTAGCTGGTTGTTGATGACAACAAACATGGCGTTGAAACTTGTTGACTGCACGAAAGGCGAGGAAAGGGTGACTTTTTCTAATTCATTGCCAGAAGATATAGCATATGCTAAAACATTTTGGCAGTCTCTGCAACTGTTACCACCCATGGAGTCCAGATTAGTGTCTAGCGACATCAAACAGCGCTTGAAGAAGGCACCGTCAGCGTATCAAGGCAAGATATGATTTTCTGATGTTTCGTGACAATGACTTGTATGCCGGCTAATATCCGCTACTGGCTGATTGATAACCATTTCTCAGACCCATTTGGTCACCGTTACCAATGGAAACGGGAATTTTAAGAATTCCAAAACTTAATCATTGTATAGATACCTTTAGGAACCTCATTTGCGACATGTTAAAAAATATCTAGTATTCATTCACCATGCTCACCATTCGGAACTATTCCAACCATTTTCCAATCAATATGTGTGGGGGGTGTGATGATGATGATTTTGTACAATATGAATGACCCCCCCAAAAAAATTCATGTACAAAATAAGTGAACCCCCTGCATGTCATGTACAAAATCAATGACTCCCCTTCCCCTTCCCATAATTTCTAAGCATAATTTTAAACATACTTTTATGTACAAAATTGCTGACCCCTCCTAGTTTGTGTGTACAAAATTGCTGACCCCCTAGCTCCCTAGAACAAAATGGGTGAACACCCCCAAATCATCTCACAAACCCCCACCCCCAAGCCATAAATTATGAACGGTCCCTAAGCTTGTTCTAAGGCTTGATTACAGTATATGAGATAACTTTTGTCATTTGGGTGGAAAATAGTTACATATCCACTATTTTGTGTCAGAATAACTTATGTAGTTACAGTTTCTAAGTTTGTCAACTTCCTTTTAGTAACTGTTGACAGCTTGGGGGTACAATTTTAAGTCAAATATTGCTTTGTAAGTAACACATGTAAGTAAGAACCATTTCCAGTAAAATTATGAATAACTTTGCCTGTTTGTGGTCGGTTGATCTAAGATTGGACATAAATCCCTACCAGATGTGATTTGTAAGTTTTGAATAACTCGCAATTTTACAAGATATTTGGAACAACGTAGACTATTGAAACTGGTTGTCCTTAGTTTTAGATACTGTAGCAGAGTTAAAGTGTACATAATTCTTTCATGCCTGTTAACAATACATATTATCCTATGGGTAAACATACTTTCACTATTTGTTTCTACAAGTATCAAGATCAAGTATTGTTTCATCACAATTCTGTTGATCCATGTATATCACATATATGTGATTTTGTTGTAGGAGTAAACCGAGGACACAGGGCACACATGCAGCCATTAGGTGAGTTTCTTGTTTCATCTTCATTTATCACCTGTCATGATCTGTGCCAGGATACTATGCAGTGTTTCTATGTTATGCAAACACCTTTGCAAACCTAGGATTAAGTCAGAGATAGTGTGGAAATCTTACTTTAGACATTTGTACCAGCCCCGCACCATGATACTGTAGCAATCATATCTGTATATTAGTGTTGAATGAGAAATAGCTTGTACATGGACCTCCAAACAATTCAATTGTTTAGACTCAAATGATGTGTTTTTTATTTCAATTTGATTTATAACAAATGCAACACACTGAAGTGCGGATACCTCAGTGCTAGAACAGAATCAATGCATGCATATACATGTGTGATGTACATTACTCACATGCACAGTGTGTATAATACTTGGTTTACCTCATTTCAGTTTTCATTGGTATACCGTAGTTGGTCCACAGCTTCATATTTCATATCATGCCATGTTACCATGGTAACCAGAGGTTAAAATTCTGAGGTAAAGATAAATGGAATGGTGCATTTACTTGTTATTAATCTCTACATTAGAGATTGCTGCAGTGTTTGAGTGAATGGAAATTAGACAGGAAAGAATGTTGGTGGTTGTTTTACTTAGCAACACTTATCCATTTAAGCAAACTAACAAAGGTGTATATTTCTTGAACAGTTGTACAAGACTTTCTCAACCAAGCACGAACAATGGTGAACATTGAAGAGTATGAGCGTTTGAGGCGCCTGGCTTCAGCACGTGATGAAGACCGCGAGACACTGAGTCGCAGGCGGAAAGAGAGGATGAAGGTAGAAAATACTAAACCAAATTAATATCTTGACACATGCTGAACTGAATCTCACAATGGAAGTATTGTGTATTGTATAGAAAATTGATGTGCATCATACTCCTATCATCCAGGAAACAATACAGATGATGAAATATGGACTGCAGCATTTTATCAGAAATGGGCGATCTGCTGCAGTGCCCATCTGTTGCAAATGGGTCCTCGAATTGTGTATTGTCTGACAGTCAACAGCCCAGGGCTCGTGTAACTGCTGATTGGCCAGCATTCCGAGCACCCATTGCATGCACACAATGCTAATGTATGAGTTGTGGTATACTCACTGTTTGTTTAAACTTACAACTTTGAGTTTTCCTGTATGGCAGTGTGCTTGCACTCCATGATTGTTGTGTTTCAAACTCTTTATGACCAAACTTTTATCTGTTTTACAAAGCAGAGGCAAAGCAGAGGTCTTGTGGATAACTGATTTCACATTTAATGCTAATTATTGATATCATCAATGCTATAGTATCTTAGTATTATTATGTTGTATGTCTATAATTTCATCCTTAGATGTAAATGTAAGTTCAAGATGTCCATTTTTTGTTTCATACTGATGCCGGCAAACTGTCATGGTACCTAATCAATGAAAAAATGATTTGGAAAGAAAACCTTTGCCCTATTAATGATTGCTGAGTGCTAGTTTAGTTTGTAGGTCCATTAAACGTGCATTTCACTTTCAGAAATAAGTTTGGGAAATTAAGACGTTGTTTTCCCCAAATATGATCAATCCCAGGTTTGTACAGAAGTAATGAATGAATGTTACTGAAAGACATTTCCCAACATATTTTCAGAAAGAGGAAATCTCTCGGAACCATGTGTCATCGCAGTCACGGAGACGAGAACAGACTGTGTTCAAGATGAGTGATGATGAAGAGCAGGAGGAGGATGTGGGCAAACTGATGCAAGATCTTGATGACTTTGACAGGAATAAAGGCCATGCCTCCGACTCTGACTGAATCAAACCCAATCAATGTCATAGCAACAGACAGATGGAAAATAAGTGTCTTAGATTCCTGTAGAATCTTGCAAGATAATCTTGATGGATAATATGGATTACCTGATTCAATAGTTTATCATTTTATTGTCAAACAATTATGATAAAAACTTTGGCTTCATCATTTTGTCATTACTGATATGATTTATATGATAATTTAAGTGATTCTTATCACAAACAAATGACAAATGACTCATAGCTGTATCTAGAAAGGGTAAGTTTGTGCAACACATGATGCTTTGTATAATATACCTTTGCCCTAAAGGTATGTTGAGAAGTCAGGTATGTCTCTTGAACTTGAAGGGAGTTTGGGTACTTAAAGTGCCTTTATTGTATTAGTAAACATGCATTTTGGAAACATGAAGCTACTTAGATATTGCTTTATAGACATGATCTGACAATGTGACAGCTGGTGTTCTGGTCTATTAGACCAATAAGAAGCAATGTAACATGTAAGGCATGGAAAATAAATCGGAGCAGTCACAAAGGGTATATCGGAGTGAGACTCTGCAGTGATACAAAACACATGTGAAAATGTTACCCAAACACTGCAAACTTTACTGCAGTTTCTTTGTATGTTGTTGAGTTTTAGAAATGTCTAAAAAAGCCTATCTACTTACTTCATTGTAATAAGTGTCAATGAAATCGGAATCACAATTTCATTTTTTACCATTTAGTGAAAACAACAGACAGGGATCTCCATGTAAGTTGAATATATTCCAAAAGTTCAGCTGTTAACTTTTACATCAAGTTTGGTAATTTGATTTTTCGAAATTATTATTTTCCTGCGTTTTAAATTTTGCATTATTTTTGAAAAATGCTATGTCCATAACATAGATGTTTGATGATGTTACTGCAAATTGTGTGGTTCATGAAAGAGATCTGTAAAAGGTATTTATATATCATATATATTGGTATCAGTAGTTTGATATCCTGACAAAATGTATATAAGTAGCACATCTAACTTTATAACAGTTTGTTGTGTATGGATGTTTACCTCATTGTGTGAAAGTGACCGACAGAATGTTTAATATTAAAAAAATTAAACTGTTTTGTCTTGTTCCTAGTTCAATTTGAAGACAACTGCCACCTTCTTGCTAAGAATAGTCTCCACCGTGGAGGAACCATTGTAAATCCTTATTCCTAGATTGAGCCCAATCGTCTATGATCACACTGCATATTCCTGGGCTCAGAGTCCAGAGTTGTCTCCCTTACACCTTAACAAAAACCAATTCTTTTTCTGATTATGTTTCTCGGTTTGTCAGTACTATACTGAGACCTGCATCACCCACAGACTTTCTTCCCACATTAAACTGACATTCCACAACTGAAATACTGTTAAAGCAGCATTAAAACCAAGCTCACCTCTACCTTTCTCAGTACTATTTCACATGTTTCATGGCCTCAAGATATTCCATCATTTAGAACAGCATTTTCACATCACCAATTTCATTTCTAATTTGAATGGCTTCATCAAGAATACAAGTAAATGTGTTTCCATGCCTTCCATCACTCCATTTGCTACAGGATTCTATTTCAAACCGGCAGTATTTTAAAGTAATCTCACCTCACTTCATTCAACCTTTTATGTCCCAAGACATAGTCAACCTAAATTTATAGCAGTCTGTGTCTTTTCTGTAGCACTGGCTATGTATACTGTGAGATTTTGCAAGGATTTAATAAAATCTATGTCTGATAATTGTAGAAACAATTGAATTTGCAGGCTATGGTGACAAAATCTGATGCAATGGTAACTGTCCTCCCTATTCAAAAACAATTATTTGTAAGGCCAATTTGCAACACCATCCTTCTTGCTACTCTGCATGAAACTTAAAACAACACAAAATACAATACAAAATTTTGTACTCATATGATTTAATAAATAAATACAAAATGTCTATAAAATTTGGCAAGTCATACAAACAGTGCAATACGCACTCAGAAAAAAAACAAATCGTTGAAACAAACATGATAAACATATGTTATTCTGCAATAGGAATGTTCATGGAACACAGGTCACTGGCATACATCCATATAGGTGTTGTCCACATCATACACATACAATTGTAGTTAAAACAGCAGGATCAACAAAAACCGTTTGCCGAAGATATCCAACACAACTGCTCATTCTACTACTGCTGATCAGGGATCAATGATCACAACAATGTGCCATGTAAATTATGAGGTTGGCTTTAACTAATAAGGATTAAGTAGGGGTTATATCCATGCTTGAAAATAGATCTGCAACACTACAATTGTACTACAGCTACTGTCTGTCTTGATACATATATATATTAGCTAGGCTCATAACTTATACTGTGAAATATACTACCCATCGAAAGTTTGGACTCACTTAAAGAACTCACTCTATGTTATGTACATATATATATGGTTACATCGAAGATGAATTTCTCTACTACCTTGGGGCATCCAACTGCAAACCTCATGCAGATGAATTGCACGAAGATCATGCATCAAATTGCTGAAAAGCATGTGCAAATATCGTGCATGTGAACAGCTGCGTTTTGGTGTAAAGTTTTGTTAAAGGTCACATGCAACCAAAAAATCAAACATAATTAAAACACAATTATCACTTATTCATGACATATAATATACATTGCTGGTTACGAAAAAATATATAAACAAAATTATAAGCGTACAATCGCAAATCAAAAGTGCAAAATTGTGTACTTCGGTTTACTTCCCAAGAAACGAAGCAGCCGGGATACCGAACCCAGTCAGAGCGGGTGGGTGTGCACTCAAGTGTAACGGCTGGTTCATTTGCAGATGCCTTCACGGCTAATTGTGTATATGTATAGAGAGAGATGTTGGGTTTTGTAAATACATGCTTATTTTTGTGTATAACATTTTGCAATCAACAGACATCATAACATGTCATGCGTTCAAGTATCACACCTGCCTGTCTGTGTAATTACATAATGTGACAGAGACCGAACTCGGGCCATAAATCAATGCATTTTGTTTATGGTGTATAGCCTGACTGGTGTTAAGTTCAAATTGCATGTGGTCAGTGATAGCAGCTGTGTATTGAATATTGTCATTAGCAGACAGGCAGGCAGACGCACACACAGGTGTCAATAAAACAGTACATTGAGTTTTGTCTGTGACAACGACATATCTATATCACAGTTAGAAATTCTGTCAACGCTAAATAATGACATTGCTTTTAAGCATCGAACTGAGAAAGTGTCTCGGTAAGAAGAACGTGGGTGAAATAGACAAATGAAATTATATAAACAGTTAATTTACTGTCATAACATATAAAAGCTCGCGCCTGTGAGATATCAACAAAACATTAGAAAAATAGCTCACACCAAAGCCTTCACCGAAGTATTCACCCGACAACCCGCTTCCAAGCTCGCGCGAACCTATTTACTTTCGACGTGCTATGAGCGCCAGCCCAGCTGTTGAAACCCGCTTCCCCATAAAAAGTCGGGGAAAATTAGTGAAACGCTTTGAACTCCATTTCGCGACGTTTTTTTTTTCATCGCGTTATTTTCAACTTTATAAGTTGAAATTGCATTTTTGATGATTTGTTTCGGTATGTCCATTCCGAAAGGTATCAGAATCTGCAAAGTTGTGTTTTACGTTGCATGTGACCTTTAAGAATTCGCCAAGTTTCACTGAGTTTCATCATTTATTGAACTCATGACAATAATCTTTTCAATGTTACAAGTGTGTTTTACAATACATCAGTCCATGTGTAAACAGTACCTTTAAACAGTATGGAATATTTTGCAAAATCAAGTTTAGAACATATGTTATATTTGGGATTACACTTTCTTAGTAAAGTACAAATTCTAGTACTGCTTGAGTTGAGCCCCATCCGGGATTCGAACTCACACCCTCAGAGTCAGGCACCTAATCGCCAGCACACAAAGTCTGCCGCCTAACCCGCTTAGCCACCGCAACTTCCAAGTTTAGAACAGTTGACTGAAGTAAGTGGCTACATTTACATACTGAGTCTAAACTTTTGATGGGTAGTATATGAAGATAACATTTATCAGGCCATAATAGAAAGAATTTGAAGCTAAGGAACACAACAACAAACAGCAGCATCAGTTCAGGGGCTGTATTATACAATTTTACAATCAAGGTAACTCATTTAGAAATAGCAACAACAAAAACGTAATATAGGGATCATAAACTGAAACAAGACATAACAAAATAGATAGCAGTTCATTGTTAGCCATATGGGGGCTGCCATGAAGTACTGTTGGCCTTGAGATTTATGTTAGAATGAAGGCATGTTTACGATAAGTTAATCCATCTAAGCTATAATTGCATATATTAGAATGTTAGATCATCAGCCCTAATCATGCTACATCCAAGGAAGAGTCCATTGGAAACAGGACAAGTTGCTCAAATTATTTGAAATGAAATCAGTGCCGATCACAGCTTGCTGTAAATGATTCTCTGTGTAAACAGAGTTAATATACAGATATACTACAGGAACAACAAAAAGACTAGGATATATGTTGTGGTGTTAAACGTGCTACCAGTATTCATTCTGAGTATATGGTATTTATGACTGTTTATACTTCAGTGTCTTACATCCTCCATCCTCCATCACTGGTAAATACATAGACCACTTTGCAGTGTTGTTTGAAATGTTGAACAAAATTACTGTTGGATTTCACATGAATTTTATATGATTTTGGAAGATGAAAAGCTAAGGAAACTCAGTGTATTATTGTTTAGTCGAGAATCTGATAAGGGTGGCTGAAATTCATTATGTACAAAAAGTGTTTACAGAAAGCTTTCTTCATAAAGTTCAAATAAATAATATGTCAAACAGATGGACACAAACCACAGCATGCAAAAGGCTTCATGCTGAACACAAAAGCTAAATTCATGAAAATATGAGAGTCCTGTTTGGTTATGTATATAAAAAATTAGGGACTGGCCATATATAGGAAAGGACGGGAAGTGGTTATGAACAAATGTTAAATACAATTCAGGAAGCATGTCCCATAAATTAATGGTGGTAAAGTTGGGGTATCAGTAAAATATGATACAGTCGTAAGATAAATACCAACAGCATAAATTAATTTAACAATAATGGTGGGATCAGATGCAACTTTTGACGAGCCACACAGACTTGACGTACTTACTAAAATACACAGACTAGATGATTATATCAATGTGTCCAATCATAAATAATCTTTGGCTTCACAAAACAAGTGTTGGTATAATGTTTAAACAGTTGAGATAAATGTCACATCTCAAATAAAACAGATACAGTTTTCATGAAAGACCATGAGAAGAATGTGGAAGTAACGTTTTTACAAAACCTGACAATATTACTGTACCGGGTGAGTAGCTGGTGACTGGCACCAGTGTACACTGGCATCACCCATCAGGTACTTTGGACCGAGTTTGCAGCAGAATCCATTGGGAGACAAGCACGTTGTACTTGGGAAGAGGGAAATAATCTTTGGGGAGTTGTCAACAATTACTTCTGCCACAACATACAAACAATAGCCAACAATGTCCAGCAAAAGACAATCTGCACAAGAGTCTGATTGAGACAGTAAACTGTTATTTAATACAGGTTACATGCATATTGCCTTAGATACACAAGCATAAAACATAACTGACAAATAAATTACCTCTTTAATAAGGATTGATGTCGGAATTGTGCTCAACTGGATTAATATGCCACTGATATCTTACACAGCATGGTAGCAGCACACATGGTTAAAGCAAAACCAATAAACCACCTCCAAACACAACAATATGAGACAACTGTCGTGGTGATGATATATACTTGATATATACCAAATATAACACTGTAAATGTGAACAGATACACTTTAAGTTTAAAAAATATGTCTTGTATGATTTTAATAAATTCTTCTTGTCCAGAGTGACAAAGCAAATCTGTTTAGCCGTGCCGGATTGATTATAGTCATATATAAAGAGAACTTGTGGTCTTTACTTACTTTGAGTAGTGTATGTCGATGTATCCAAGATGTGCAGCCTACTTGGCATGATAGGAACCTGTGTTAGGTCCAGCATGACATGCTGCCCTTTACCAAATACACACCTCAGGCACTCATATTTTATGGATTGATTTAATATTCATTAATTTCATAATAGAATACTTGCATATAGTAGCAAGGTCATTCATTGTGTTTGTGGTGGTCATAAGTATTCAAATAAGAATGATTAGAACAACCTTGAGCAATATCACCGATGTGAGGTCGTCATCATTCAGGGCCACTGTGCTTCAGATGAGGGAACTCCAGTAACAGAAATTTAGAAACAGTAGAGGTCATCATGGAGTGTAACTGAAAGGCTTCCTGATAACAAGATGTTGGTATGTCATACTAATAAGCGCTGTTAACTGTTTGTACACAAAAAATGTTGCACTACCCATCACTCAGTGTATGCCGAACTACCTTTATTCATTTATCTGAAGTATGTAGTATAAACTGTGGGCAACATACTAGTCACCCCAGACACATGGTGTCACAGCTAGTCAGAGGTCCAAGTTCAGTTCTGTAAAACAATTCTGTAGAAGGACTATGGGCTGCTGCAGCCTATTAATAGTGCCAACCCAGTCTGACTGGGCTCCTGTCTCCAGTTTGACTGGACCTGTGTTTATTAAACAAGTAGACAGGTATTGCGGCAATTTCACGTCGGTAACTCACTACTGGATGATAACTAACAGCATGGGATGTTTGATTTTTTGTTGTCATATAAAATTGTTCTAGTCTCAACTAATATACTATAATTCTCATCACCCACCCAACACTCCAACAAACACACACAGACAATATGTTTTGTAACTGTCTCCTACCCCTTTAAGATTGCTGCTCAAACTGGGTGGGACCAATAACTCCGCCAGTTTCCACATTCTGTAACACTAGCATCAGGAGGTGTCAACAGCGAGGAGTTCACATATGTAGAAACATTGTTTGACCAGATCAGTTCACCTAAATTGTAAATGCTTCTTAATAAAAGTATTCTGTATGTTTGATTTTAAACATTTTAATTAGATTCTTTTAGTATCATTGTCCATAATTAATACTGACTGTAAAAATATGTGATTAATACTGGTAAATGATCAGGAAATGTTCATAAAATGATAATGATTTTACCGAAAGAACATAATTCGAAAGTTTCATCAAATGCAGTTTTCCCTGCTTGAAACACAACATGTTAAAAGTCACCTTATACACTGCAATTAAAACAACACACAAAGGTTTAAGCCAAAATTAATAACATGATTGTCCATCCAAAAACAGTAGTCAGAAAACCAATATAATTTAGAAAATCAAATTTGAAAAGAAAGTTAAGACTGACAAACTGACAGTTATTGTTCGATGAATATGTTAAACTAATCATGTGATACGTTTCTAATCAACTGGTTGATATGTCTGTATGGCGTCCATCATTAAGCTGAACTTTGATTGGCTGTTGCATAGTCTTGAACAGGTAGCATTCCTCGTGGTTGGTCCACATTTTTTGGCACAGCGTGTGAGTATGTCCTGGGCACTGCTCCATAGGCACTGATAGGGCCAGACTGAAATTGATAGGAGTTAATATAAAGGATATCAATTACATGAAAATATGACAATCTTGTGTCACTACGAACATCACATTCTCTTCATGAAACAGCTAGATGATCAAACATACATGTGGGATACATTATAATTGTTTACAAACACTGAAATTCTAAAATCCATTTTGACAAAATTGTTGAAGTCTAAGTTACTCAAAAACAATTTAAAATGTTTCATGTAAAAGTACACACTTACTATTAAAATATTGGCCTCAATAGTATAACATTTGATTTTGAGAATATTCCAAGCATGACATGGAGAAGAGATTAAAATATGATTGCATTTCAGAAATGTCACAGTCTCCAGTCACTGAGTTGTTAGATCACAGTACGAACAATCCCGAACAAAGGAGTCTCATAGATGGTTGAAAGTTTTAACGGAAACTGAGATAGTGTGTAGTCAGGGGCTGGTTCAAGGATGGATGAAAGTCTTAACGGAAACTAAGATAATATGTAGTCAGGGGCTGGTTCAAGGATGGATGAAAGTCTTAACGGAAACTGAGATAATGTGTAGTCAGGGGCTGGTTCAAGGATGGATGAAAGTCTTAACGGAAACTGAGATAATGTGTAGTCAGGGGCTGGTTCAAGGATGGATGAAAGTCTTAACGGAAACTGAGATAATATGTAGTCAGGGGCTGGTTCAAGGATGGATGAAAGTCTTAACGGAAACTGAGATAATGTGTAGTCAGGGGCTGGTTCAAGGATGGATGAAAGTCTTAACGGAAACTGAGATAATGTGTAGTCAGGGCTGGTTCAAGGATGGATGAAAAGTCTTAACGAAACTGAGATAATGTGTAGTCAGGGGCTGGTTCAAGGATGGATGAAGGTCTTTAACGGAAACTGAGATAATGTGTAGTCAGGGCTGGTTCAAGGATGGATGAAAGTCTTAACGGAAACTGAGATAATATGTAGTCAGGGCTGGTTCTGAGGATGGATGAAAGTCTTAACGGAAACTGAGATAATGTGTAGTCAGGGGCTGGTTCAAGGATGGATGAAAGTCTTAACGGAAACTGAGATAATGTGTAGTCAGGGGCTGGTTCAAGGATGGATGAAAGTCTTAACGGAAACTGAGATAATGTGTAGTCAGGGGCTGGTTCAAGGATGGATGAAAGTCTTAACGGAAACTGAGATAATGTGTAGTCAGGGGTTCAAGGATGGATGAAAAGTTCAAGGATGGATGAAGGTTTTAACGGAAACTGAGATAATGTGTAGTCAGGGGCTGGTTCAAGGATGGATGAAAGTCTTAACGGAAACTGAGATAATATGTAGTCAGGGGCTGGTTCAAGGATGGATGAAAGTCTTAACGGAAACTGAGATAATGTGTAGTCAGGGGCTGGTTCAAGGATGGATGAAGGTTTTAAGGGAAGCATTATCTGAATTACATGATGTAGTCCAGGCTTTAAAGCAGAGGCCCAGATAAGCTGCGTATCCGGGTAAAATACGCATAGAAAATTTCCAACTACGCATTGAAAAATAATTGTTATGCACTAATTCACGATTTAAAATGTTAGATAATGCAAAAAAGTTTAAAACAAATGCTGCACAGAATATATTCAAAAAAATCGCCATGTAATGAAAAGACATCGATTGCTATCAAGTTGTACTGTTAGTATAGGACAAGTGTTGTACTGTCAGTATAGGATGAGTGATTTTTTATGAAATCATTTCCATTATATTTAAGTTGGTTTTGATTAGGTATGACATAAGGCAGATCATACCTGCTTAGTAAACTTACTCAATGACATAATACTTAGGTGAGTAAAATGACTGAAATACGCACATATTTGAAAGCAGTGGGTAACGGAAAATGAAATACCCATTCAACATTCATAATACCCACTCCAAAAAAATACAATGGGTACAGTACCCACATGAGCTAAATCTTATCTGGAGCTCTGATTTAAAGTATGGAGAGAATTTGATGGCTACAGTTTAAGGGACATAGAGTTATGTATATACTGGGACACATGAGACTCATTTGTAGAAAGCTGCAAGGGTCAAGTAGAATCAGATACATTTGATGTACTTGGGACAAAAGGTTTATAGGGAAGTAGCTTCTAATAAGTCATGTACTCAGGACTTTATCATCGGCTGATGAAAGTTTGAAGGGAAGAAGATCTGATATATTTGCTGTATTCAGGCTTTCAGTCTGAGGTATAGTAGCCACTACTCCAGTATTCAGAGGGGAGTCAGCACTTCATCCATGCAAATCCCTCTACTGATTCAAGACACACTTCTGTCATCCATACATCAGGCAGAGATGATTGTATGAGTGTGTCACTACACTAGCTAGTTGTGAGGTATCTAGCATCCAACAAGCTCTACTATCAGGCCTACCAAGCAGATTTAGATAAAATGGTTGAAATGTCCACGATATACAGCTACATTGCACAAAAGCTAATTAGGGCATAAATATCTGAAGACATATAGCTCCCAAATATTACTGTCTCATGATCTGAGGAGAAAGTACTCGCTTTCCAGTGTAGAAATATTAACTTCAATCCAACAGATAACACTGTGAATTATTTCAGTTTTGTTTGTACAACTTATGCAATAGCATGGAATGAGCTCTAATTAAAAAGAACTCACAAAGAGCACGTAGAGCTCCCCAAGACTTCTGTTATTTCCATGGCAGGAGACTGTCATCTCCTCTATTGGACTGTGAGAATCGGGGTCTACTGAAGGGGTTATTTGGGCTCGGCTGAAGTGTGGTAGCCAGGACACACATAAAATCATATCTGGTAAGCTGATTCATATTTAAAAATTAATAATGGTATATTTGAAAACTTCAAGGCATGCCTGTTTAATTCTGCACACAGCACAACACAGTTATGGAGTCAAAATACGTTGCTGACCTGTTATTTTCCAATGTAGGATTGTGACGTAATACTTGTGTGATAAGTCTACTGAATAAAAAAATCATCGTTATAATATGTGTGTGGCATATTGTGGACATTTCATTCATTTTAAGTCTGCTTGGTCTGTCTGACCACAAGGGCACAGCAAGTAAGTTTTAATCCATCCAAACATGGCTACCCTATCATTGTATACCACTCTCCAACGTAAGCTCTCTTCAAGGTCATGTTTCTGGCGTTTCTCAAACACAAACTCCTGGGCTCTCCGAGCTGCAGCCCGCTCTAGGACCTGATTCTGAGGAGGAAAACAGAAATGGTGTGAGTGAGTGAGTGACCATTAGGGCTGGCTAAAAATATTGACATTAGGGAATATCATTGATGAGAAGAATTATTAATGATTATCAATAAGAAAACTGCGTCATTCATAATATCTGAATGTTATATGTCTTTATTCATGTATTGCTTCTAACATATGTTCGGAACGCTGTTTTCGTTAGTAATCCATACATGAATAAAAACAGGTATGTCACCACTCACATGTGACTCCAAATCTTTGGTTGTTCAGAGTATTTTTTCCATTGTTGCTCCAAGTTATTTCTTCAATATTTACCAATTATCGACCTCTTTGATCTATATCGATAGCCAACCAAAGTAAATATTGTTCAGTACTCAAGCTATATCAAGTTTGGACAGGTATGGCAGTAGCTGACTGCTATACCTAACAGTTCATGATATCTAGGCTTGATACCACAAAATCAAACATCTCATCCCCTGTTTAGCGCTCTCCGTATGTTGAACGGACAACCTATTTTGACCGGGATTCTACATAGCTACCAAGCGAACAAAGAGAAGGTATCAATACAGTTTTAGCCATGTACCTTTAACTACACGTATCATTGACAACCAACAATGTCACAACACATCTACACATTGTAGACAGTATTTGGGAGGTGCTTTCCTGTAAAGCTAAAGTGCATTACATGAGTCTTTCTCTCCCCCCTTTCAATGACAGCAGTATTACCCAAGCCTCACCCTTCAATGACAGCAGTATTACCCGAGTCTCACCCTTCAATGACAGCAGTATTACCCGAGTCTCACCCTTCAATGCCAGTAGTATTACCCGAGTCTCACCCTTCAATGACAGTAGTATTACCCGAGTCTCACCCTTCAATGACAGTAGTATTACCCGAGTCTCACCCTTCAATGACAATAGTATTACCCGAAGTCTCACCCTTCAATGACAGCAGTATTACCCGAGTCTCACCTTTCAATGACAGTATTACCCGAGTCTCACCCTTCAATGACAGCAGTATTACCCGAGTCTCATCCTTCAATGACAGTAGTATTACCCGAGTCTCACCCTTCTAAGACAGTGTATTACCTGAGATTTCTCTTTCTGGAGCCGTTTGATGACATCTTCCCGTGACATGCGACACGTTTCCAGCTCATGCTGAAACACATACATGTATATGATCTGGAAGTATATTGGTATTGCCATTGGTTAAAGGCTGCACACAGCAATGTTGCAGCTCTATCCCAGCAGTCTACAAATAATCATGCTTGATCCAGATAAACCTGCATGGGTTACTTTAGACCTGGGGTCTCCACAAGGGGGACCTGGAACCAGCATTATGCAGTCAGTCTCTCATCAGTGAAACCAGCATTATGCAGTCAGTCTCTCATCAGTGAAACCTGCATTATGCAGTCAGTCTCTCATCAGTGAAACCAGCATTATGCAGTCAGTCTCTCATCAGTGAAACCTGCATTATGCAGTCAGTCTCTCATCAGTGAAACCAGCATTATGCAGTCAGTCTCTCATCAGTGAAACCTGCATTATGCAGCCAGTATCTCATCAGTGAAACCTGCATTATGCAGCCAGCCTTTCATCAGTGAAACCTGAATTATGCAGCCAGATTCTCATAAGTGAAACCTGCATTATGCAGTCAGTCTCTCATCAGTGAAACCTGCATTATGTAGTCAGTCTCTTATCAGTGAAACCTTCATTATGTAGTCAGTCTCTCATCAGTGAAACCTGCATTATGCAGTCAGTGTCTCATCAGTGAAACCTGCATTATGCAGCCAGCTTCTCATCAGTGAAACCTGCATTATGCAGCCAGATTCTCATCAGTGAAACCTGCGTTATGCAGCCAGCTTCTCATCAGTGAAACCTGCATTATGCAGCCAGATTCTCATCAGTGAAACCTGCATTATGCAGTCAGTCTCTCATCAGTGAAACCTGCATTATGCAGCCAGATTCTCATCAGTGAAACCTGCATTATGCAGTCAGTCTCTCATCAGTGAAACCTGAATTATGCAGCCAGATTCTCATCAGTGAAACCTGCATTATGCAGACAGTCTCTCATCAGTGAAACCTTCATTATGTAGTCAGTCTCTCATCAGTGAAACCTGCATTATGCAGTCAGTCTCTCATCAGTGAAACCTGAATTATGCAGCCAGATTCTCATCAGTGAAACCTGCATTATGCTGTCAGTCTCTCATCAGTGAAACCAGCATTATGCAGACAGTCTCTCATCAGTGAAACCTGCATTATGCAGTCAGTCTCTCATCAGTGAAACCTGCATTATGCAGCCAGATTCTCATCAGTGAAACCTGCATTATGCAGTCAGTCTCTCATCAGTGAAACCTGAATTATGCAGCCAGATTCTCATCAGTGAAACCTGCATTATGCAGTCAGTCTCTCATCAGTGAAACCTTCATTATGTAGTCAGTCTCTCATCAGTGAAACCTGCATTATGCAGTCAGTCTCTCATCAGTGAAACCTGAATTATGCAGCCAGATTCTCATCAGTGAAACCTGCATTATGCTGTCAGTCTCTCATCAGTGAAACCAGCATTATGCAGACAGTCTCTCATCAGTGAAACCTGCATTATGCAGTCAGTCTCTCATCAGTGAAACCTGCATTATGCAGTCAGTCTCTCATCAGTGAAACCTGCATTATGCAGTCAGTCTCTCATTAGTGAAACCTGAATTATGCAGTCAGTCTCTCATCAGTTTGAAACCTGCATTATGCAGTCAATCATTTATCAGTGAAACTGGGAATTCACTTACTAGTATACTGTCTCTATCAGCCATTGCATGTTTGGTTTTCTTCAAGAGGATAGCATTGTCCTGTCGAAGTTTGACAATTTCCTTCTTTAGAGAGTCGTTTTCATCCACCAAACTCTGAAAAAGATGATCAAATTGAACATTTTTCAGCATATTTCGTGTAAACCTTCAGTAAATAATCAAGGCTGAACAATCCAGTGACACTACACAGCATAGATCCAGGCAATTGGGGTATGATGTCATGTATCAAGTCAGTCAATCCCAGTTCGATTTGTTGGGCCAACTGTTATAAGCCATGACAAACGCAGAGACACTGTCAGCCATGTTAGCAGTATACAGCTCTTTCAGAGGAGTAAGTGAGTGAGTTTAGTTTCATGCTGCTTTTAGCAATATTCCACCAAAATCGCAGTGGGGTACACCAGAAATGTGCTTCACACAATGTACCCATGTGGGGAATCGAACCCGGGTCTTCGGCGTGACAAGCAAACGCTTTTTACCACAAGGCTATCCCACCGTCCCCTCTTTCAGAAGAGGGACAAAATGGTTTCATTTAATTTTGCAAATAAAGAAAACTGAAAACTATGACAACCTCATTTTTTCGAATGACATCGTTGACTCTCATGTTGTTTCCCAGCAGAGTGGAAGAGTTGGATAACTTGTGGCGTCCAGATATAGCGGGCATGGTGATTCTGTCTGTGCCCTCATCATGGTCATCTGGTCGTGGGGACAGCCCCTTGCCCCCTCTCTGCTGCCGCTCTTGGTCATACAGGTCCTTGTAACGGAATGCAAGTCTGTTTGCCTTGGCCAGCTCCCCCTCAAAGGCCTTCATCTTCTGGTCAGCTGAAATATGACACAAACACTATATAAACATCTACCCATACAATGGGTATACAGAACAGCCAATACCCAGCATCATGAACATCTACCCATACAACAGGGGTATACAGAACAGCCATTACCCAGCATCATGAACATCTACCCATACAACAGGGGTATACAGAACAGCCATTACCCAGCATCATGAACATCTACCCATACAACAGGGGTATACAGAACAGTCATTACCCAGCATCATGAACATCTACCCATACAACAGGGGTATACAGAACAGTCATTACCCAGCATCATGAACATCTACCCATACAACAGGGGTATACAGAACAGTCATTACCTAGCATCATGAACATCTACCCATACAACAGGGGTATACAGAATCAGTCATTACCTAGTCATCATGAACATCTACCCATACAACAGGGGCATATACAGAATAGAACAGTCATTACCTAGCATCATGAACATCTACCCATACAACAGGGGTATACAGAACAGCCATTACCCAGCATCATGAACATCTACCCATACAACAGGAATTATACAGAACAGTCATTACCCAGCATCATGAACATCTACCCATACAACAGGGGTATACAGAACAGTAATTACCTAGCATCATGAACATCTACCCATACAACAGGGGTATACAGAACAGCCATTACCTAGCATCATGAACATCTACCCATACAACAGGGGTATACAGAACAGTCATTACCCAGCATCATGAACATCTACCCATACAACAGGGGTATACAGAACAGTGTTACATTACCTAGCATCATGAACATCTACCCATACAACAGGGGTATACAGAACAGTCATTACCTAGCATCATGAACATCTACCCATACAACAGGGGGTATACAGAATAGTCATTACCCAGCAGCATGAACATCTACCCATACAACAGGGGGTATACAGAACAGAACAGCCATTACCCAGCATCATGAACATCTACCCATACAACAGGGGTATACAGAACAGTCATTACCTAGCATCATGAACATCTACCCATACAACAGGGGTATACAGAACAGTCATTACCCAGCATCATGAACATCTACCCATACAACAGGGGTATACAGAACAGCCAATACCCAGCATCATGAACATCTACCCATACAACAGGGGTATACAGAACAGTCATTACCTAGCATCATGAACATCTACCCATACAACAGGGGTATACAGAACAGTCATTACCCAGCATCATGAACATCTACCCATACAACAGGGGTATACAGAACAGTCATTACCCAGCATCATGAACATCTACCCATACAACAGGGGTATACAGAACAGTCATTACCCAGCATCATGAACATCTACCCATACAACAGGGGTATACAGAACAGTCATTACCCAGCATCATGAACATCTACCCATACAACAGGGGTATACAGAACAGCCATTACCCAGCACCATGAACATCTACCCATACAGCAGGGGTATACAGAACAGCAATTACCCAGCATCATGAACATCTACCCATACAACAGGGGTATACAGAACAGTCATTACCCAGCACCATGAACATCTACCCATACAACAGGGGTATACAGAACAGTCATTACCCAGCACCATGAACATCTACCCATACAACAGGGGTATACAGAACAGTCATTACCCAGCACCATGAACATCTACCCATACAACAGGGGTATACAGAACAGCCATTACCCAGCACACAGTAGGCCTGAAATGGTTATCCGGGTACTCGCGTACGAGGCAGGTAGGAGCACTACTCGAGTAGTAAAATACTACTTGAGTACTCATCTAAGAAAATGTGTAGTCGAGGCAGAGCAATCACGAGTTGTATTTAAACTTGTGTCATTTACTCATACCAGTAGATCATGTAATTACTAATCAGTTTGAGAATATGTCACAACATAGTTCATGGTGTTGATTACGTAAGGACGGGTGCATTGTTTATTTCTCTTTCATAACATGCATCTCGACTCACCTTCTTCGCAGTCTCGAGGACGGGTACTCGAGTACTCACGAGTAATTGAAGGCAAGTACTCAAGTACTTTCAGTTGCTACCTAGTACACAGAACAGACTCAACATGTCACAGGGAGTTATTCTGACCAATGACATTTGGCACTTACTTTCCTTTGCCTTCTTCTGGAACCTGTTCAGGAGCTTGACCATGTTGGTGTGGGAGAGGTTGGACTCTTCCTGTAACTTCTGGTTCTGGTTGTGGAGATGCTTCACCTCCACAATCTTTCCGTGTAAAGTGATCTCTGCTCGCAGCTTGGAGTTCTCAGCCTCAATATTCTTCATCATCTGTGCTTTTAATTCATAAGCCATCTCTGACTCTTCCGGGTCCAGCCTCCCTCTGGGGATATCACAAATATTATCTGCCAGGTGAATAGTCTCTTGATAATGTTCAGCCAATGGAACAGTTCCCTAGTTGACATGTTGCATGTCTGGTCAGACTTAGGCTCTGTTTTTATAAACAATCTGTCGGAACTAATTTTAGTAATCAAATTAATTAATCAATCTTACTTTTCTCTTGGGGTCTTTTCTTTAGTGACATTTGTGCTTGGTGACGTCAGGTCTCTCTGTGTCTGTCCCACCTTCTCCTGGAGCTGTGACAAGAATATTACAATATCTCATGTAATAAATTCACCCTCTCCTGGAGCAAGGTCAAGAACATTACCAAATCCCATGTAATTAATGAAATTCCCCAGCTACAAGAATACTATCCCATACATTGTAATTAAGGGACCGTTCATAATTTATGGCTAGGGCTGTGACGATGATTTTTTGGGGTGGGGGTTGCACCCATTTTGTTCTGGAGAGGTCGGGGGTGTCATCAAATTTGTACACATCTACTTGGGTGTGTGTGTGTGTGTGTGTATGTTTGTCAGCAATTTTGTACATAAACTTTATTAAAATTTATGCTTAAAAATTATGGGAAGGGAGGGGGTCATTGATTTTGTACATGACATGCAGGGGGTCGCCACTTACTTTGTACATAAATTTTAGGGGGGGTCATTCACATTGTGCATGCTTCTCAATAAAAATCATCATCACCCCCCGTAGCCATAAATTATGAACGGTCCCTAACTGATCCTTTCAGAAAAAACAAAGTATGAGTGTAATACGATTCAGGAGTTATTTCATGTGTCACATGATTTATATCTGACTGTAACTGAAGCAATGATAACAAAGATGTCTATAGTATTCATCATCACAGAACAATCAAGGATGACCATACACTTTGTGCTTGACAAAATGTTACCTCCACAGCAGCTCTTCATTACAAGATGACAACTAGGTCTAAATGTCTGTCTGTTTAATTTACTGTAAACAAGATTATTGTGTCTCAGGTTTAGACATAATAAAAAGTATCTCCTTACAGAATTTCATCAGTTATAGTAACACAAACTTATTGTTTCCAATTTAGCTTAAGACATTTTTAAAAGAGTTACGAATGATGACAGCATACAATACAAAATATAGATACAGCTGAGTTACTGTGACTATCACAGTGATTCATTCCTGCAATATTCTTTTAAACGGAATGTTGATAACATTAACAGTGACTCGGGTGCCTAACTCACGCTCAGTTCGCCTAACTCACGTTCTCCAGTAGCTTGGTGGCTTCTTCCAGCTGTTTCGACAGACCTTCCTTTGCCTGGGCACAGTCTTTCTTTCTGGAAGACTCAAGTTTTTCAAGTTATTTTGAATAGATTTATTTGTTTCAGAGAGTTTCTGGATTTGATCTTGAAAAGTCTGCAAAATCAACACTCACGCTTATATAACACATAGCTATTGATACATCTGACAATATGTTCATTACCCAAACACTGCTTGGGACGTCAGCTGTCTGTGTAATATGTACAATGGGACATCTGCTGTCTGTGTGATATGTACAATGGGACGCCAGCTGTCTGTGTGATATGTACAATGGGACGTCCAGCTGTCTGTGTGATATGTACAATGGGATGTCAGCTGTCTGTGTGATATGTACAATAGGACGTCAGCTGTCTGTGTGATATGTACAATGGGACGTCAGCTGTCTGTGTGATATGTACAATGGGACGTCAGCTGTCTGTGTGATATGTACAATGGGACGTCAGTTGTCTGTGTGATATGTACAATGGGACGTCAGCTGTCTGTGTGATATGTACAATGGGACGTCAGCTGTCTGTGTGATATGTACAATGGGACGTCAGCTGTCTGTGTGATATGTACAATGGGACGTCAGCTGTCTGTGTGATATGTACAATGGGTGTATGTGATGAGGAGGAACAAATAACAATGGCCGGTATCTCTAACACAGTACGGAGTCTCTTCAAAGAGCACACTTTCATTGGGTTTATGGTCGACATATGTGTTATCCACATTCAGTGAAACACAAGGAGAGTTATATCAAGTTGTCATTTCACTTGTGTACATTTCTGTATCTCAATATTCATCTTCATTAACCCAGAGGCTGTAAAGACGTAACATTCTACAAAAACAAAGATAGAAATGGGTATCCATGGAGAAATAAGTGAAGAAACAATATCCGTGATCTCATCATTATCATTTAGTTTGTGTGTCAACAACTATTTAGAATGTTTTTGTCACATAAAGTTTTTCTGATGTCCCTAGCAGCTGTTGGGCAGTGTACATACACTTTTTGGGACACTCTTTTTGGTTGTCAGATGTAAAGCTATACACGACACAACAAACACACAAAACCTGTATACATGTATATCGAACTACTGAAGCTAGGATCTGCTCTACTTAAACAAAACAAGCTTAAACCATGGGTATATGTTCACGCAATCATGATTCAGGAAGTAATTAGCAATACAATACAAAAGTGTCCTGCAAATGGTTTTAAGGCAAAAGTCTAAAAATGTAATCAGGGTGAACTTCACGTTTGCAAAAAATATTTCAAATTTGCTTCATGAAAAACAGATTAACATTGTAGAGCGATTTAATAACTGCATGAATCATACACGACTTCGTCTCACGGCAGACTTCTAACAATCTATTGATTTTCATATGAATAGTACTGTATTTATACGGTTACACACACACTTTAAGTACAACGGTATACGTGACATGAATTGCAAATAGCTGCAGCTGATATTGTGCAAATTGCGATACAATTGAATAATGATTATGGCGTTCACAAACGGCAGCCAAACCAAACATAAATGAATGACAACTATTGACAACCTTCCATGAATCTTTTGTTGACATTTTGATCAACTGACGGAGGTTACTATTTCGCTTTGTGAACTTTAACACTAGATACGATGGTTTCAGGACGGATTTGTTTACACGGTCGGGAAGGACAACAGTTCGGCAAAAATAGTTCCAAAGGGAGGTTACTCTAATATATTTCGTTACTGAGATTACCGCTATTAAAATTATAGCTGCTTGGCGACACTCTCTCAAACCAAATACTAGTACTATGTATTCGTGTGATTTTAGCTTCTACATGCTGTGTATATTGGCGGTTAGTGAACTCTCACCTCAGTCACTGAATTTGTAAATGTATTTTTGTTGTGGCCGTTGTTTTTGACTAATACTAGGATTGTATCATAGAAATATTTCGGCGTCACACTGTTATTATCGAAAAATATTGCTACTCACCAGTCTTATTCTTTTAAAGGGACACGTTACCGTGATAGGTCTGTGAGTACATAGACTATCAACGAAAGGAAAGAATGATTCTGACACAGGCATGTATGTGTTTTTGTGATCTCATTCTTGTAAACTATTTAGACTCTCTTAATAAACAGGTTAGGACATCGTCAGTTATCTGCAAAATTTGACGTGAAACGATCTTTTACAATGCTGCAACAAAATTAACATTAAAGATGAATTACACATCTCTGAGGAGCATCAGAGTTGCTGGCAACAGCATTTGACTGGAGAGCTAGTCGGTTGTTCGATCCCCTATCACTACCACGTGACACCAAAAGACATCTAAGATGCTACTTGGTGTTACCCTGCATATTGCTCGGCATATAGGGTTAGTGTCGCAGGCCCTCGTGTCTTTGCGAGGATTAAAGATTATTAAAAAAAGCATATACAAAAATTTGAGATGACCCCCGACTCGAAATGCTTCACAGTACAATACATTATGACAAGGCCGGACACTTCGATGCACCCCACCCGACTGCTTTGCCGATCGCTACGCTACCATCGCATGCAATCGGTTAAAACTTTATGTAAACATAATCATGGATGGTTGGCCTATCGAAAACCACTCATGACACCTACCAATTCTTTATTGTTATTTCTGCAAGTCGATTGAAACCCGATTTTGACCCTCAACTAAACGATCTTGACGAAAATGGATGACGATATATCCGCGCAAAACGGGGGATAACCTCTGACCGGCTGAAATCTCTTACCTGTAAGTACCCCTAAATGCAACATGTTTTTAACACCCCTGCTAACATCACACCTCATGAGTTCTTCAACAACCTCTTCGTGAACCTACGTCTCAGCTGATAGTACTCAATTTCTATGAATGGTTGTTTTTCAATACATCATTCCAGCTGTCAACAGTTTAGATTGATACACAATTATCTCTCTCACCCTCTCTTAATAAATACTGAGTAAATATTGGAAACTTACTGGTACGAAGAATATATTGCTATCAAATAAGGTGTATGAATAAATGTAATAAATAATCTTTTGTCGTTCAATACAGACTATGCCGGTTAATGCAATCCGGTTTCAGTCATGAAATACATGCGTTGTTCAATTTTGGGGTGAGAACCAACAATTTTTCTAAACTGGTCATAAAATAATACGCAAATCTGACTAGAATTATTATTTAAGAGTTAGCCATTTTCGTTTTGTACGAATCTCCACGTGTACGGATCATCTCGTATCCGTGCGGTAGTTAATGAACAGTCTGCTGTTGACAGCCAAATCGTCTAAGGCCCCGCTATTCGCTGTGCAGAGTTGCGTTCTATTCACTGACGTGGTGAACGTCTAAAACCTGTACCAATCCAGCCTGTTCAAAACAGTGTTAAACCAACTCATTCACCATTCACAAATAATATGACAATGGTTCTTTTCAGATAATGACTATATTCTGAATAAAGCTGACTTCACAAATATGCGGCCATAAGATGAGACCTGGTTTCAGGGTTTGGCCTCCACAAACATTTTCTAAAACTCGTGTTTCAAATTTACACTGTGGAGAGAGTCGGGTTCAATGACTGCCTCAAATGCATGCTGTTTGTTAACTGTACATGAAATGTCGATACCATTTTAGTTAGGTCTTTAAACTACACATCATTTATGTGGGCTATCACCGTGTCGCACTGAGGCGTATGTTCTTGCTAAAGTTTATTCCATTCGAAAACCATTTTATTAATCCGGAGTTGGAGATTCTTCCTGGACAAACACAAGTGAATACATTTAGATGGTGTCCTGGTTCTTGTTGTATGGCATTTTGTATCATTATAATGACCAGGTTTCCACACGATGTTGTTACAAATCTGTAGAAGCTTCCGGGTGATGTTTTGTAATATACATGTAATATTCGGTCGACGCACTGTTGATGTTTGTTGCGCCTGACTATCGCCCAGTTTCGTAATATCTGACCAAGGTCCACCTGGTTCCCGGCACCCTGTCGCCCCTGTCTTTGTAGTCGTCGTAAGACGGAGGACAGAGAACGTTCCTGGTGTCCTTGTGGACCTTCAATAAAACGGTACAATATCAATACGCACGAATTGGAATGTTAAGAGTGAGAACTTCGTTCTGAAATGGGGTAAACTTAATATTAATTATTATTATCCATATGGTGAAACATAACCAGTGTCATTATATCATATGTGCACATGTGCACATATCACTTTCCCTAGCAACCATTGTTTCTGTATTTCGTTGTCTGTGATGTCATTAAACAATTGAAGGTGACGTCAATGAACAGGGCAGTCACATTTGCTTACCGTATATTACTGCACAAATGTACATGAATAAAATGGATAATAAAGAAATTATTACATTCGCAAGTGTGCCACACGACTTATCCAAAACTCGTGCAAAATTTGTGTTTTGCCCTCGCTCACGCTCGGACAAAACACATTTTCTCACTCGTTTCGTATAAGTCGTATGACACACTTGCTCGTGTATTAATCTCTATTTATGCTTCGTTTCAGCTAAAGTGACAATGTGAGTGAGTATGGTTACATTGGTTTTACCCCGCTTTTAGCAATATTCCAGCAATATCACGGCGGGGGACATTGGAAACGTCCTTCGCATATTGTACCCATGTGGGGAATCGAACCCGGGTCTTCGGCGTGACGAGCGAACGCTTTAACCGCTAGGCTACTCCACCGCCCCTAAAGTGATAATGATGCACTTATGGTGATGATGACCAGTATAAGAACATTTTACATACTCTAATGTTTCTGTGTATCATGGATGAGTGTTTCCCACGGGGTGTTTCCGAACCCCTGTGTGTAAGGTTTGAACGTAATGTTCTCTGTCTGTTCCGCCGCTCCTTCTCCAGGTTATCTTGTTCTTCCTTCCATTCTTTTGCTCTCTCCTTGTGGTACTTTACTCGACCCTGTAACTTCTCCTGTTACAGTAGTAAAACAGACATAAGACTTAATGCATCCTTTATGTGTTTCCTTGATATCTGACAAGGATTGCTGTCCTCATGTTCGTGTGCGCGTGCGTGTGCTTTTAACAAGAAAAATATTCTGCATAAATATGACGATATTATTCATACAATTACATGTATTTATTTATTGAGGAAAAATCAATTTTAGTTTACTGCCCCTTGGGTTGGTTGAAGGATTACCCTATCTCACCTTGATATCCAGGTACGTGGGGCCTTCTTCAGCAGGGACTCTGTGTGAACGGTTACCTGTAAAGTAGACTCATATTTGGATTTACCCTTTACCTTATTCCAGCACTGAACCCTACAAAGAACCGATCATATTGCATTACTGACTCTAACATCACGCTACAGGGTTACCATATTCCCTGTAATAGATAGGGTAAGAAGCAGCTAATGTGTTCACACCTCAATATTTAAAGTCTAAGTCAGGTTGTATTCTGAGAATACCAAACGAGCAATTATTTATATTTCCCGACTGTGTTTGTTGTCAATTCCACATTTTAAACATAATTACATTTACTGCAAAAGTATCAAGATCCCATCCATAACCACCTTCGAATGTTCTCGCGGCTACAACCAAATACTAGTATATACACTAGATATAAGATCGATTGATAGATATTTCTATAGTCCATAAGCTACCTTTCCACGGCACATCGGATTGTACTAATGTAGCACTTACACTTAACGAAGGCAACTCGGGACGTGTTGTTGCATTTAATTAATTAACTTTAACAAATTAAAGTTTCATCAATCAACACTGGCGATCGCCAGGATGTCACTTGAAGTTGGTTACCTCGTGTTGACGCAAGGCTACGCGTCTCAAAGCCAATTTTAAAGTTTTTGAACATGAACGAGATTATATGGCATACATGTATACCAGTACTGGACGGGTGGACATGGAATATTTACCATGTTTCAGTTATTCTTTCGGATTCAGAAACCAGAATTATGCAATGTCTTATTCTGTTAGATCAGCACGTGAATGATAAACAACAACAAACAAACAAATACCGTCGAATATATGGGAAGCTGGATTATTTATGGAAAACCCTCGGGAGCATTGAAGAACATTAAATACCCTATCCGAAAACCCTCGGGAGCATTGAAGAACATTAAATACCCTATCCGGTTACCCTTGTAAATAAGATTGTTTTTGTAATGCACCAACACATATTGGAAGTACATGTACTTACAACATTGACCAATTTCAACAGCCCGGTGAAATAAGGGCTCTTTAATTAGGAATGTTTCAGTTTAACTTACACCCCTTTACATAAAAATGTTGCTAAAAATAGTTTAATCATCATGTTTAACACGTATTGACGTTTAACACGTATTGACTGCCTGTCACAGAAGCTCACCGTAATCGGGCTGGTCCTTGTACCATTTTCGCAAACTCATCTTCCGAAATCTCGGAGTCTGTGGACAAAGTAAACTTCTTCTGATAAAATAGAGCAGTTTCAATTTCCTATTTACAGATAAGAATAGTAAACAGAATAGCAGAAGGGCCATAAAGCATCTTGATATTCACAAGGGGGGATGCAGCTTTTTGAGAAAGGGGGTGCACACTTCATTTTCACGAGTTTCAATGGTCATTCAATAAACCACACAAAAGGGGGTGGGTAGGGGTGCGCACCCCTGCTCTCTCCATCTCTCTCTCACACACACACACACACACACACACACACATTCCTCCTGCAGAAATATCTGCTTCGACCCGCTAGCACAGATTAGTGTAACTAAACGAATATGCATATTTAGTAAACACTAAAAGCACGAGGCAGTTGTTTGTGCAAATAATGAGAGCTATACACGTAAAACCAACAGGGCTGTCCGTACTCCTGGCTACTTTCGGTTTACAAAGTTCACGTTACATCAGTTTAAGTAAACTTAGGCTCAGTACTTTTCGTTACACTAAGTACTGTACTGTGTAATGAATACTGAGCCTAAGTTTACTTAGTTTGACGCTACATATGCCTTACCTAACTCACCAGATGAGCGCCACATGATTATATCACATAGATCGGACATACTAGTTGGTCGTGTACCGTGAAATGAGACGCAAGGAGCCGATTAAGTGGAATAACATGATAACATACCTCCTGCGCCATGTTGACGTTCTCCTGTCATGTCACACACCTGGCTGGCACTCTGCCAGGGGTTCCGAGAAGTCGCGATAGCGACTACGGACACGGAAGTGCCTCGAGATCGATTCTATTCTTATATGCGGTACTTTGAACTGCCCCCATGGTGTGTCGATCATAAACAAGTTACAACCCAGGCGCTGGCGCTCCATAACAAAGATTATTACCTACGAGGGCGAAAATATCGGGGTTCAGGGCAAATTGTAAACCAAAAGTCACTGTGTTCTTTAATCTGATTGGTTGAAAAACGTGATCAAATGGTATTCGATTCCCGGAAATTCGCTGCGTATTGATACATACAAACATCGCTCACACCATTGTATTGTTACGTCGTCAGCTGTGATGACGTCATTAAAATCATATTGTGACGTAAAGTCCGAATGACGTCACAAATGAGCAGTTCCAGATGCTACCATGGGAGACAGCCGAAACGGCCGGCTGATGACATTTCACTGTTGTACCCGTACTCGATGTCAATGAGAGCAGACACAAAAAACGTGTGTGGACCTTTCGGTTTACTTTTGTGTTTACAATGTCGATAAACATCATGTGTTGGCGAATTTCCGGGTGTTATTGAGTATTTGAAGCACGGGAATTCATTTGGAACCGACGGCGTCAGCCGGAGGTTTCAAATGAAATATTCCCGTGCTTCAAATACTCAATAACACCCGGAAATTCGCCAACACATGATGTTTATCTCCTAAATATCACTTTGTCATTGGTGACGTGACGTCATGAACAATGCTGTGATGTCAAGTTTCATCTGTGACGTTGCGTTCTACATGTGGCGAAGGCGGGTAGCCTGCCAATGTTTGAAAGTAGATGTGGGTTTATTTACCTCAATTTCACGACTTCGGTAATAAACAGAATATTATATTCGTGCCCATATCATACTATGTATACGACACTCGTTACAAAATATCGGTATATCCCTCCTCTCGCTCGGGAAATACCAACATTTAGGCACTCGTGTCGTAAACATAGTATGACATGGGCACTCATATAATATCATCTATGCATTTTAAAGACTTGTGTGCTGGATACTTGATGGAATGGCCCGGGTCATTTAGTAATCAACGAAACATCATTAAATATAAAAACAACAAATTGACCTAGCGAGTTTATAAAATGACTTTGATCAAACATTTTAGAAGACAGTCCGGTGGTCCAATTGCGTAGCCTCTTACGACTCACTAAGGCACAGACCGAACACAAGGTTTATCAGGCTGCACTTTAGGCACAAACATTTGTCAACAGAGTTGAAGAATTACATATAGATATCGTGATGTTGCACACAGTAGCCGCTGTGGTCATTATGATGTTCTACCTTATCTGAACGTTTAGAACAGTTTCTAACCATTTGATTTTAGCACATTTAATAAAAATCAAATTATATGACCACATATATATATATTTTTATCTCAAAAGTCAGATTTTACCTTTGAATGTGATATTAAACTGAGATTTTGTTTTCAACATCACATTTATTGTGTTAAATAAAAGACATTTTCGCCGCGAATAGCTGTAAAATTGCTGATGTGGCGTTAAACAATATATTCACTACCTCACTCTGTATATCTGAAGGACTCACATTTTGGTAAGCCTTCACCAACGCCTAAATCCATTCCCATGGTAACAGTTTCATGAGATTACGCATGTTTACAAGTACATTGGTAAACACTGGTCCGATAATCGCCACTAATAAAAAAATTGAATGCGTCCTTCGGTGCAAGTTTTGTTATAATCATTGCGTTTCGGGTTCGCCGTTCAGAGTTCAGTCTGTAAAACTAGATTTCTCTTTTCTGCCGCACTTGTTGGCGCACTAATAAAGACGGAGCCCAGTTTCAGATGTTGCTGTGACGTCATCATTTACTGTGTAAATTCGGAGACCTCAGTTCGGCAGACACTCCACGTGTGGTTAGCAAGTCTATTGCATTTGGTGTTGTTGTAACGTTTTCTTCAGGTTTTGAGAAAGTACGTGTTGTTGTATTTCCGACTGAAAGCTAAGTTATGATTGTAGCATACCTGTGTTATATCTGTACGTGGTGTATTATTATTAATTGCTCAAATATTCTGTCAGCGATGGTTCCGATTCGATCACTGCTCCTAAACATTGGTGCGTCAACATACCCCGACACCGTCGAGCGTTGCCCTCAATATCGAACACTGGTTTACCGAGTGTCATGTTTATCATATAACCATAATATTGATTTGAATAATTTGTAATCTGAGCTTGTGTTATTAAGGATAACGTTTATTGAAATCCAGTACTAGAAAGTTATGTGAAATGATGATTCCGTCCACGCACTAATGGTGCAATGTTGTTGTTTAGGATCGTTGAGATTGGGGAAACCTACCGATCGGCCTATAATCAGTGTAGGAAAGATGTAGAAAATCTAGCCTGTCCACAGGACTGGCAGGTCAAATTTTTTACCAGTCCTGCCAAAATCTAGCCTGTTCTCCAAATATAAATAAAACACCTTCGGCAGTAAATATTCAAAAAGGTTATAATCATTATATATATGTCATTGGTTTGCTAAAATTGACCCGACATGAGGACAGACTAGATATTTTTTTAACCCGTTCTCCACAAAATTCATCCGTCTCGGACGTTGGGCGGGCTATCTTTCCTACACTGCTATAATAGACCAAATGGGATATAATAGGCCGTTGTGCTATAGGTCGATTGGCCTATAATTATGATATTTATCAAATAGATTTGATTTGAAATGGTGCATTTCCGCATGAGAATATTAACGCTGAAGTGGTCGTTGTCGGCACAGGTACAGATATGTACCCTAGCCAAAGTAAATGTACAGAAACGTACCCGGTATCCTAAATGGCAGACGAGTCCACTTTTCTCAAGCCAAAACCGGTTTGTGGTGTTGTTCCAGATAGCCTGATTTCGAGCGCTTTCACTGCATCGTCGAGTATTCACTTTGTATTCTAACGCAATCGAATATGGAGCTCATACCACAGTATGAGAGTTCCGATCAAGAAGATGATGACGATTTCCCATGTTCATTTACGACAGCTGTTGGTGGGAACGATTTGGAAACAGCCCTTTCAGGACACCCAAAACTTAAAAAGTTTCGCTCCTGAGAGAACAGTGCTGGATATTGTAGACAGCTTTCAATTTTCTGACGAATATGTCCGCGGTTTGACAGGCAGGGATAATTTTTAGTACGCGTTTGAGAAACCGGTTTAGCGCTCATCGCGATGCAGAATGGGTTCGATTGCCCACATTGGTACAATGTGTGAAGCCCATTTCTGCTGTCCCTGCCGTGATATTGCTGGAATATTGCTATTGCTAAATATTGCAGCGTAAAACTAACTCACTCACTCACTGATAATCTCTAATTGTTGGCAATATTGGTTGTTCTATCAGTTTCCTGGTTAGTAATTCTTACACTAACATTCACTGGGTTGCCCATTACAAGCCTGAATACATGTGATCATTCCATTCTCTACCTGTATTGTCTATTTCTTGTAGATGGCGAAGAGTTTACGCAGCAAATGGAAGCGTAAGATGCGCAACATTAAGCGAGAGAAGTACGCTGTGAAGGAGACAGATCGTCTCAAGCGTATCTCCAACCTTGCCAAGCAGCAGAATGATGAGCTTAAAGAATTGTATGAAGGTCAGTAAAACTTGTATGTCATATTGTTTGACTCGATTGATTCCTTGCTATTTGAATCAAGGAAACACTAAATCTTTAACTTTTTTCAATAGGGTTATGACAACCCCTTGACTTTGATGCTTAATTTTGAACTTTTACATATGGACTGCAAGTTGAAACTAATACTAAATATGGCACACCACAGCCCATCACTGACTAGTCACATATGCAGTGCATTACACTTAGAATATTGGTACACATCGGTTAACGTACACTACCCCATAACACACCCTTTCTCTATGTGACAGAGAAGCCATTAAGTTGTGATTTATGGTGATTTATGACTTTGGAAATACACAAGCAAGGCCCATCTGGTGCTGACATACTTCATGTTATGGGTGGTGTCAATTTGGGATTCAAACTCACAACCAGTGCATCCATAAGGGATATATGTTGTGGAGTATAGACCCCTGCAGAGCCTGTGATAATCATTGATGTCATTCTGATCTATAATACCTAGCTGTGGTAATTGCCTTAATATATTTTAGATATTATTCTGATTAAGAATTACATGACTCGGTGAATATTAGGAAATTTTGATATGCCAGTAGCTAGACAATTGTTACCTGCAGTTTTAAACAACATTCTTTCGCTTGCTTCTTTACTACCACAGTTATGTCTCGCACATTTCGTAACATACCCTTCATCATTCATTGTCCCACAGGTGGTGGGGTAGCCTTGTGGTTAGAGCAATCACTTATAATGCTGAAGGCCTGGGTTCGATTCCCACCTCAGTACAATGTGGAATCCCATTTCTGATGTCCCCTGTCATGATATTGCTGGAATATTGCTAAAAATGGCATGAAAACATACTCACTCACTCATTGTCGCACTCTGCCATTCATATCACAACTGGCTGTTAATTGACATCACATTCTATTAGCAATACCACCACTTACTAGTAAAATGTTACAAAGACAAGCACTTCTCCTTCCCCTCCCCCTCTTCTCTTCCGAACTGCGTAATGTTTCACAAACAACTAGCACACATGAATTGTCTTCTCCTGTTGGTGTTAGACCTTGTAACAAAAATGACAAGCACAGGATGCTGGGAAGTCTCTCCCAGAGTCTTAATCCAGAACAGGTATGTTGTATGCAGCAACAAGAAGAAAATAGAACAAAATATGTTTGTCTGTTAACCTCTTTGTTAGTCTGCATAAAAGATAATCAGTTAAATTTTTATTTCACAGTTAAAAAGGCTGGTGACATCATGAAAGACAAGTCCAAATCTGATGGTATGTCGTTTTTATATGTATGAGGTTAATATCAGTTAATATCTCCTACTTGCAGGGATGTTAAGGTGAGACCACAGGACACTGGACCACTGGGGTGGTATCACTTGTATCATCCTTGTCATCTTGGATGTTCCTTGTTTGTAAAGACAATATCTTGTGTACCGGTAATGCCAAGACCCTAGCAGAACCACTTTACTGGTCTTAACTATTAGGATGCTGATGATTATTTCAATTTTTTGTGATAAATAAGACCCATATTCTCTTGTTGCAGGTGGTGATGAAATGGATGTAGACAAGCAACAGAAGAAGTTCAACCCAACGACACTGAAGGACGAGCATGGCAGCTATCCTGCGTGGATGAATCAACGCGCCATCAAGCGGCTTAAGAAGAAACAGGTCAGCAAGAAAAAGAAGAAAGGAGGGAAGAAATAAACTTGTGTACCATGTAAATACTGTAAATAAATGCTTGTATATCTTCATTACATTGTTGCCATGTATGTGTATCGAGAATGATAAACATATTCCACCGTCTTACCCGAAGCATGAATTGGTATGGACTTGGAACCCTCATGAAGGCTGGTAAGGTTGGACAATCCTGTGATGGAACTTGAGAACAACAAGCCACCTTGTAGGGGTATGATGAGACACATCAAGCACCAGTACAACCCCCCAATCCAAGACCAGCACAGGTTGGTGGGGACCTAGTCTAACCCAGAATACCCTTGTGGTTTCAAACACAACACAGAGGCCTAATTATTGCAAAACACATATGATAACATTTATTTGTAAATGACATGAATTAATATACAATGAATGAAACATGTAACAACATACAGAAAAACAAACAAATTCTCTCTCTGGCTCTCTCTCTCAAGTCTACTTGTTGCTGGTACAGAAAATATGTCATTTCATTTCACTGGTCGTTGATCCAATAAGCGGCTATATACTTTCTGGGTATGACGGCACCTGATTGTCACTCATTGTAACCACTCCCACTGATGACAATAACTGGAGAATGGACCTTGGAACAAGACTGTCCATTTATCATGGTCCACTGTGTACAGTTAGACCTTCGGTCGATAAATTTGTATGTTCTCGGAACACCGAAGCTGTAAGGTTTGATCACCAAATGAACGGAGCACGTTCTCGAAGCAGTCTGCAGCTGTACTGCTGCCATTCCTTTGGGCGAATCCAGAGTTCCTGTGTCGTGTCCAGACATGCCATGACGGCCGCCCCTTTCCAACATGTCACACGGGGGTCGTTGTCCTAGTAACAAGGGACATGAAACATATTACACAACGCTTCACTACTATTGAAAAAAGGCAGCCTTCATTTATTGTATGTGGGCAGGGGAATTTTTTTAAACAATCTGATTTTTCCCAGGTGAAGACAACAATTAATTTATCAAAAAAAACCAAAATACCCCCCCAAAAAACAATTAATTTATCTAGAACTGTTAAACCATCTATTTACATTCACACCTAATGCTAAATTAACATGTTTGGGTCTTTTCCAAAAAACATACAAGGTACACGAATTAATATTTTACACTACCCCAGGCATATCTACTATTATAAGCAATATATCATATTAATTCCCAAATTTGTATTTTGGCACAAAAATACAACTTTCCTGACATACACCACAGCTAGAGAGTGTCTTGGAAAAACTACATTATAACAAAAACACTTGTAACAAACTGACAAATATAAAAAGAAATTTGGTCCTGAGTCCCGTTCCTCAAAGCGATCGTAGGGCTATGACGGTCGTAAGTCTATGTTAAAGTATGGAAGGTACGATCATCTTAGCGCTATGATCGTTTGAGGAACGGGGCCCTGATCACTTACTGTATATTGTGGTTGAAATGTGTGCAATGAACTATGGTTATAACAAACTCAAATTGGTTTTACCTTAAAGTTTGTAATAACAACAGCGAAACAATGACCTCATCAGAGCTGTTTATAGTCCGTTTGGCTCAAAAGCGGACTGATGAAATGCAATCTAACTCGAAAACTAATAAACATGTGATACTCAATGAAACACTGATCATAATAAAAACATCAGACCAACTCTGAGATTTTTGCAGAATTTATGTCCTGAAAATAATAAAGTTGTTGAACAAACTATCATTAAAATTTTGACACAGTTCACTATTTGTTACGAGGGAGGAGTGCAAAGAGAGGAACAGCCAGGTGTATCCGGAGCACGTGCACAAGTGCCGACAAAGCTATGGATTCATTTACCTGAGCTGTGCCGTATCCATCTTTTCTCGCACACCTGGCTGTCCCTTTCTCTTCACTCCTCCCTCGTACCAAATAGTGAATTGTGTAAATATTTTAATGATAGTTTGTTAAACAACTTTTTATTTTTAGGACATAAATTCTCAAAATACTCACAGAGTTGGTCTGGTGTTTTGATTATGATCAGCGTTTCATTGAGTATTATATGTTTATTAGTTTTCGAGTTAGATTGCATTTCATCTGTCCGCTTTTGAGCCAAACGGACTATAGTGTCTCATCATTGCATAACTGCCACACTGTCTCCTATGCAGGATGCACTTTACAGCCATAGTGTCCACAGGTGAGATGCCTACCTTTGGTCTTGTGAGTACGTCCATATTCTCCATCATGAGACGTTGATGGTTGGGCATCTGCAACCACACCCGGTGCTGAAGCCATGACTGTGCCCCCTCAAACAGTGCCAACCCCCCACCAACCACAACAATACAGCTGTACATCTTCCGCTTCAGATCCTCGCTCCCTGTAAGGAAGCATTCATTTTATCAATGCATATTTCAGGCCTGGAATTTATCAGTAATAAATCATGATAAGCTGTGAAACTACTGTTGACTGTGAACATGTACTACTCAAGAGAAATGAAAGAACAAGTGATTCTTTCATATTACAATAGTTAATCTGTCCTTCGATTCTTTCACATTACAATAGCTAATCTGTCCTTCGGTTCTTTCATATTACAATAGTTAATCTGTCCTTCAATTCTTTCATATTACAATGGTTAATCTGTCCTTCGATTCTTTCATATTACAATAGCTAATCTGTCCTTCGATTCTTTCATATTATAGCTAATCTGTCCTTCGATTCTTTCATATTACAATAGCTAATCTGTCCTTCGATTCTTTCATATTACAATAATTCTTTCATATTACAATAGCTAATCTGTCCTTCTTTCATATTACAATAGTTAATCTCTTTCATATTACAATAGTTAATCTGTCCTTCGATTCTTTCATATTACAATAGCTAATCTGTCCTTCAATTCTTTCATATTACAATAGTTAATCTGTCCTTCGATTCTTTCATATTACAATAGCTAATCTGTCCATCGATTCTTTCATATTACAATAGTTAATCTGTCCTTCGATTCTTTCATATTACAATAGTTAATCTGTCCTTCAATTCTTTCATATTACAATAGTTAATCTGTCCCTCACTTTTTCATATTACTACAGTTAATCTGTCCCTCACTTTTTCATATTACTACAGTTAATCTGTCCCTCACTTTTTCATATTACTACAGTTAATCTGTCCCTCACTTTTTCATATTACTACAGTTAATCTGTCCCTCACTTTTTCATATTACAATAGCTAATCTGTCCCTCACTTTTTGATATTACTACAGTTAATCTGATAAAATCTTTGAATGGCCTTTAGAAGTGATACACATAAAAGGGGAAATTTATGGATGTCAACTTCTTTATTTGAGGAACACAACTGACAGATGGAAGCCAGGTTAAGATCCAGGTATAAATTAGCAAAAAGACAGCAAGGGGAATATTAGCACAAACAATTTCCATGCAACACCATTCTCACCACACTGCTCTATACAGTGAAGGATGGCCTCGTCGACCCCCATCAGCTGAGCCACGGGTTCAGTGTCTTCCTCCTCTTCCTCTTCCAAATCATGGCGCCGTCCAGTCTTTGTTTCGGTCAGTGCCAATGTCTCCGGAGCATCGTTGGAGTCGTCGTCCATCTGGGAGTGACTGAGCTGGGTGTCCTCCAGCTGACTGCTCTCTGTCACGTCCCGAGACTCCTGGTTCTCCTTCTTGGAACCCAGCTTGGCCTGCAGGATGAGCAGGTGGCTAAGTACATTGTATAAAATACAGCTGCACAGGCTGAGAGATTAATAAAGTCGTTTGATCGTGATGATATCACAATGGTCTGGAGCAATTCCTTGGAGGTATTACATATCATCTAAGCTAAGCTATATCTTCTACTGAAGCCAGATTAGGATGATAAATGAAAGTTCCTTTATGCTGCAGGCTTCAATATTCCCACCATGGCCAATGGTTGACAGCTGTCTGTTGCACACTGAATCAACTCTGGTCAACTGTCTCAGTCTTTCAAAACATCAAGTATGGCAAACATGAACATATTTGAACATATTTGAACATATTTGGACATTATCTGTCAATGCCATGTTGACATACTCTGCAAATCTTGCAGTTAACTAACACCTTCACATCAGCTGCCATGTTGTTTATGAACAGGATGTCGAATTTGTTATAAGATTGTAGATTATGTATAGATAGATTTACCATTCAAGTGAACCTCAAGCCCAGTTCAAGGTAGGAAACTGAACTTTTAGAGTTAACTCCCTTGCCTCAAGGTGGTCTTTACAGCAATCAGATTTAACATATTAAATACACACATGACCATACTGACACAAGTGTTGGTTTCTCTTACAGACTTAGTTCTCTTAGGGACTGCTATTTAATTTCAACTTGGGATTCCAAACACACCTGACACCTTTAACCTTAGAATATGTAATCATTACAGTTCAGGGCGTACCAGGTCTCGTTGGGCTCGCTGTGTTTGTCGAAGATAGCTCTCATCATGGGGGTCAACTGGGTCACCATCGAACCGGGTCTGAACCCGGACAAGCTGCTGCCCCTGCACAGCAAACATGTCTGGGTAGAGCATCCCAAGCGGAGACAGGAGCAGCTCGTCGGCCAGACGCAGGTTGAATTTGATGATGGGCTTCTGGGGCTGCCGGATCTGTAGGAACTGGTTCACAATGCCAGATCTGTCCTGGAACAACAGATTAGGGATGCAAACCAATTAGTGAGTGGGTGGGTGAGTGGGGTTTGGAAACTAGCTGGTGGTTGGAGACTGGTTCAAACTCTGAATCTGACCTGGAAGAACAGTGGAGTGAATAAATGGGTTAGTGCACAAGATGGTGACATATTGTGAGTGTGTGGATGAGGTATTGTGAGTGAGTGAGTAAGGTATTTTGAGTGAGTGAGTGATTGTAGCTTTTTTAACTACTGCTGCATGTAATCAACTGAGTTTTGATGGGACAAGCCAGTCATTTACAGCACATACACTGATAAACACTTGCTGGATCATCAGGCAAGTCCAGCACATTGTAGTGAAGTGAAGTGAAATTAGGTTTAAGGTCGTGCTTGAGAATATTTCATATGACGACATGCATGCGTGTGTATGTGTATGTGCGGCTGCTTGTACTAGCCCAGACTGAAGCTGGTTTTATAGTGCTAGCCCACTGAGATACCATGCCGCAGTGAAGCAGGAATACCCCACTCAGACACATTTATACTGACTCCCGAGCCGACCAGTCCTTGTTGGACCCATTAATGCTGAGCGCCAGGCAGGGACCAACAAGTACCACATTTTAACGTCTTTTGGTATGACGCGGTCGGGATTGAACCCGCGACCGTCCGCTCTCCGGGCGGACATTCTAACCACTACACCACGGAGCACATTGTAACCACCATTCTCCAAGTAATGTAAATGAATATATAAACTAATGTATTGTATTGCTGGAGGCTGTATTGCTATACCACATTAAAAACATTTTGACAATGGGTATGAAGAACTCACCACATCCATGTGGCAGAAGGATTCCTTCAGCTCCTGCATTAGTAGGATGTCAGTCGGTATGGACAGATCCACCTCCGGCAGGGGCACACCACTCTTCCGCAGCATCCAGCGGAAACACCGCGTCACATCCGAACCCCCGTACTCCATCGTTAGTCTGAAGACAAAAACATCTCTCCACATGAACAGGGTCCAGACTGTGGTCTATGCAAAATGGTACCTAGAGTTATCTCCCTTGGACCAAGAGACAAACCATACCCAGTATTTTGTTACACTATTTAACTGGAACATTGAATACTGAATATAAATAAATACAAATGAATGTTCATTCTACAAGTGTGTGTACCTGGTAGGTTTGTGTGAGATGCCATCTTCCACACATGATATGCTAGTCTTCTGATCCCCAACGTCAACAACACATGCACACGGCACACCCGTCCCATACGTCGCACACACAGACTCCTGAAAACACAGCAACACTACACCATGGACCCACTGCTTTCATGAGGCAGTTATACCAAGAATCAGTTATCAGTTGTTTGAAATACATAACTTGGTAAGGCAGGCTATGTATACATCATGACTTCCTGGTGAATATGGAAGCAATATTTACAGGACCATCTGCACACCTGAGCATTCATAAATGACAGCCAAATATATATAATATTCCATGTATATTGTACCCTCAAAATTGACAGGAAAATAATTACAGGAAACTTTAGGAATTTTCTTACAAACAAGGAGATCAAAATTCATATTAAATTACATTATTCAAAATGAAGAAGTGTAAATCTTTTTGGAAGTTCACTGTCGATTGTTGCCGACCATGTGAATCAAACTACATAGGAACCAAGATCACTGTCCTCTGTGAGATACAAATGTTCTGAGCAAAGCTCATCCATTAATACATTTTCTAGATTCCACCCCACCCCCCACCCCCATTATCACAGGTACTGAATGAGCTACTTGACCTGTGACGTATGTCATCAACCTGAAGCCGTGCTGACCTGATGAATGAAGGCGGCGCCGAAGCCGAGGGTGTCCAGGAGTAGGTTCATGAGGGCCTTGACGTGCTTGTGTATGTACACATCTGGGATCAGCATGATGGCCTTGTAGTGCTGGAACAATGACAACAGTCCTCAGGTAAACAGTACCTTATTCCACCTCCTACATAATCCTAATTTCCCACTTGATACTGAGCATGTTAACATGGGTAAAGAGATTTAGGTGAGGTGAGGTGAAATTGGGTTTAACTCATATTTCGCTCATATGACGACGTGCATTCGTGTGTATGTGTATGTGTGGCTGCTTGTACTAGCCCAGACTGAAGCTAGTTTTATAGTGCTAGCCCACTGAGATACCATGCCGCAGTGAAGCATGAATACCCCACTCAGACACATTATACTGACTCCGAGCCGACCAGTCCTTGTTGTACCCATTAATGCCGAGGGCCAGGCAGGGACCAACAAGTACCATATTTAACGTCTTTTGGTATGACGCGGTCGAGGATCTAACCCGCGACCTTCCGCTCTCCGGGCGGACGCTCTAACCACTACACCACGGAGGCGGTCGTAAAGAGATTTAGACCAGTTATCGTGACCATTGGATTTAATCCAAGTCATTGAACAATTTGGTTTCAGCCTGTTCGAACCACATGTATATCACATGATGGCAGATATTGTGGGAGGAAATCCAGAAGCAGATCAGAGTGAGTGAGTGAGTTTAGTTATAAGAACGCTGCACTCAGCAATATTCCAGCTATATGGCCACGGTCTGTACATAATTGAGTCTGGACCAGAAAATCGAGTGATCAACAGCAGATCATAGACCGAGATGTATCCACAACAGAATCCTGACACAAAGTGACAGAATCCTGACATAAAGTGTGTTATTTATCATATTATGTTAAACAGTATACACACCAAATACACGAGAAGCATAAAACTTGTACAGCACATTGATATTAATACCTTAAGATCCTTAATTGGTATGCTGAGATATGTTTCCAAAGCCTTGCTCCAGATGACCTCAAGGTCAGCCATGACTGATGTGAGAGATCCACATGGTCCCCCATGGAGGTTAAGGCGTCCACGCCGCATCGGCCAGTGTAGGGTGTAATTGTCTGATGGGTGCACATACAATGCCTACAAGAAAGGCCACATTGAACATTCTGTTCATTAACACCAAGTATAGACTTAACAATAACAGTTGCATCCACAAGTCACATTTTGGATGCAGAAACAATGATAGTTATGTTAGAAAACATATTAGAATTCTCAGAGCATATTTTAGAGACACCAGAGACTGGATAATTCAAACATAATTTCAGCTCCATTCATCCAGTAGTATCTGAGGCTAAATACACATGCACAATAACAACACTATACCTAAAGGTCAAAGATGGTAAATTGATAAGAAATATAAAGAAATAGAGATTATTACACCAGAACTCCAGATAAGATTTAGCTCATGTGGGTACTGTACCCATTGTATTTTTTGGGAGTGGGTATTATGAATGTTGAGTGGGTATTTCATTTTCCGTTACCCACTGCTTTCAAATATGTGGGTATTTCAGTGAATTAACTCACCTAAGTATATGTCATTGAGTATGTTTACTAAGCAGGTATGTTCTGCTTTATGTCATACCTAATCAAAACTAACTTAAATATGATGGAAATGATTTCATAATAAATCACTCATCCTGTAATAACAGTACAACTTGATAGCAATCGATGTCTTTTTCATTACGCAAGCGATTTTTATAAATATATTCCGTACGCATTTGTTATAAACTTTTTGCGTATCTAACATTTTAAATGCGTAATTGGTACGCAACAATTATTTTTCAATGCGTATTTGGAAATTTTCTATGCGTATTTTACCCAGATACGCAGCTTATCTGGGCCTCTGATTACACAAGCAAGTGTGTCATACGACTTATACGAAACGAGTGTGAAATTTTGTATTGTCCGAGCGAGAGCGAGTTTTGTATAAGTCGTGACACACTTGCTAAAGTGTAATAATTTCTTTATTATCCATTTTATTCATGTACATTTGTGCAGTAAAATACGGTAAGCAAGTGTGACAGCCCACTTCATTGACGTCATGTTCAATTGTTTAATGACGTCACAGACGACGAAACACAGAAACAATGGTAGCTCGGCAAAAGTGATATGTGCAAATATGATATATATGACACTGGTTATGTTTCACCCTATGGGTAATAAAGCATCATATGCAAAATACCATATGACATGATTGCTGCCCATCAAATTTATAATGATATACCCAGAATAGATGGCACAATTGACAATTTTTAATATGACCATGTTTAACATCATATTTCAATTGTAAGCATATTATAAAGGTACCAAAGTTGGGATCATCCAAACACAGTTTCATATGCTTTGTATATTCAAATGAGATGTTGACAAAGCAATAACATAACAGGGTTTTGAAGGTCAGAGGTGAGTGAGTGAGTGAGTGAGTTTAATTTTACGCTGCACTCAGCAATCTTCCAGCTATATGGTGGCGGTCTGTAAATAATCGAATCTGGAAGGTCAGAGGTAATGAACTGAAAAAATATATTAGATGTGTCACTATAAGAAAATACAAAGTGTCCCTGCTGAGATAATGCTAGAATTAAACCGGATTTAAATGCTACGAACCTCTTCTCCAATAATACAGGCAGGTTTCTTGTCTGTCTGTGTCCATTTTAGAGGACAAATAACATCAGTCCTCTCTCCTTTTGATGACTGGTTGTAAGCAAAATGCTGGAAAAGGCAAAAGTACTTAAGCTAAATAACACTTAAGGAAGGGACATAACAGATATAATTACTTAGTAGGACGCTTCATTCTCACTTGCTGGGTTCGCATCTGACTTGGTTTGTCAAAGTGATTGAATTAACAGTCTCTCATACATGTTGAGTCATTGACTGCTTATACATGTACTTAAACTTCATATCATGAGTGTATTAATTGGTGATTATGTTTAAACAATTTCCTACTACCATAAAAAACATATAATTTTTGTACACAGAAAATATGTTTCAGTGCAAAATATGCATTGTATCATTCAAGTTATGAAAGAAGTGTCTCTCACAATATACTGCAGAATCAGTCATCTACCTGTTTGTTTGAAGTGGTTTGTCTGTAGCCGCCCATTGAGTTCGGTTTGGTAAGAAGAGCCTCCTCTGCATTTTTCAAACCAGTTTTCATCAGATGGTTAGCTTCTGGATGCTGAACAACAGAAATTGATTACATGCATCACATATCATACGAACCTCAACCTGAACGATATGAACTGATAAGCTGCATCAAACATAAATCTGAAGCTAAAAACCTTTAACACAGATAACAAGAAATATGAGAAATATATGTTTGGTTACTAAACTTGTTTGGATTGTTGTCTCTGTACGCAATGAAACCAGACTTCATGTGAGCAAAACATGAAAACTACTGCAATCATTTCTTTTCTTGATATTCCAAATACTGACCTATTACGGTACCAACCAAATGTTATGAATGGCAATGTACCCAACACAGATTTTAATAATCCAATGAACCTTGCAACACAGAACCTTGTTTTACTTACGTTACATTCTGGGCGCATCAGCCACGACTCTGGAACTCTGGGGCTTTGTACCTTCTTCCTGCGAGCAACACAGTGGGGAATTGTGATTGGATACGGGTCCGATGCACGCCCGAGTCGCAGGTTGTAGGAGCCAGGGTGAATAATTACCACTGTAGCTGGCTGAATCGGCTAAAGTCAAAAGAACATGCAGTTTAAAACAATCACCATGAAATGTTCAAAACATGGATATTCCATGGTTCGTTTTTCTCAGATATGTTTTCAGTTACATCATTTATCTGCAGTGTTTTGATCTTCTATCCAGACCCTACATCGCACTTGAGAAGAACGGGATTCTTCTTTGGTGTTTTGTAAGCATTACTGATTAAAAATGACTTGCCGAATGATAAGTTTGTTGCTTGTTCTGTGTCAGATTAATAAAACTCCCAAGTTTACACAGTGGGATAGTTACCTCGATTACGGGATCAGGTATTGGTTGAGCAAATGGCTTTTTGGTTGAAGTAGGAGGCATTTTTCTTGATCTGTGGAATGAATTTCCAACATTCAATACATGTGTTTGAGTTCTACGTCACTGTTATCGGTGTTTACTAAGGGAGGCCACGCGTTCTGGTTCTAAGCCTACGTACCGCTAATAAGAAATAATCTGTACGTGTATGCTGAAATAAATCCTTACGAAACTCAGAATACACGAAGGTACCCTAGCTTGGCAAATTACTGGGACAAGGACTAGCCTATAGTGTTCCACACTGTACGGAATGACCACTACGTAACAAACACGTTTGCATATTTGTCACCCTCGTTTAGATCTCCATTCACACACTTGGTAACCCATGTTCGTATCAGTAGCGTCAGCAATGGAATGTCGTCACTCCTCTCTGTGTTCCTTTCTGGTGACATTACAGACACATAACGTCATCAATAATATGGTGACGTCAAAGACATTATGCAGTGAACTTGTTTGAGAGCGTACGTGCACAGCCCCTCGTGTCTTTGCGAGGATTAAAGATGTTAAAAAACATAAAACATTTGAGATGACCCCCGACTCGAAATGCTTAGCAGTACAATATATTATGACAAGGCCGGACACTTCGGTGTCCCCCACCCGCCTGCTTTGCCGATCGCTACGCTACAATCGATTAAAACTGAATGTAAGTTACATAATCATGGATGATTCGATCACCACTCATGACACCTACCAATTCTTTATTGTTATTTCTGCAAGTCGATTGAAACCCGATTTTGACCCTCAACTAAACGATCTTGACACAAATGGATGACGATTATGATCGCACAAAACGGGGTGTGTGGTCAAAGCAAGTCGGGGGTCATCTCAAATGTTTTATGTTGTTTAACATCTTTAATCCTCGCAAAGACACGAGGTCCTATGGCACCGAAGCGTCCGGCCTTGTCATAATGTATAGTACTGTGTAGCATTTCGAGTCGGGGCTCATCTAAAAAAAAAAAAATTAAATCTTTAATCTTCGCAAAGACACGAGGGCCTGTGCGTGCGTTCTGCTGCAAGGAGGAACAAGACCAAGTGATAATTTTCCAATACAGGGATGAGCGTTCGCAACAGGGAAACAGGCTCCTATTTCTTTCTTATGAACTCATTTCAGTCTTATTGCAATTTATTGTCGGATTAAATGTTTTCGGATGGCAGTTTTTACGCTCGCTGTTTTAAAACGAAGCGGACTACGTCACAGAGACATTGTAAATACTCGGATGGTGGCTTGTGATTAAGATAAAGTTGTCTTTAAATAGATTAGTGACATGTTTTTACAATTTTTCACGTGGTAATCGAGAAAACAATGGAACCCTTAACACGAGGATATTTGAACAAGGCCGACCTAATTTGAACAGATGTTTGTGTATCGATTCTGTTTGATGTAAGTCTCTCGTCTGGTCATGAAACATCACTTTGGTGTATTTTTAGTCAAGAGTAGTCTGTATTCACGGGAGGTCTGCGCTATTTTGTAAAATTATTAATTGCATTTATAGTGTCGTATTGTGCAGATATATATAGCGGGCTGATAAGGTGCGGTTGCTGAACACAGGCTGTTGTTTAGATGCCGTATTTGAGTCCTACTAGTTTTTCGGAAAGGCTGTTTGTAGATGCTTCGTTTGTGTTATCAGTATGTACATGCATGGTGACGTTTAAGGGGGAAATAGATGCCAAGTTGAACTGAATATACATCTGATACTTCAGTGGTCAGTTGGTCTTCAGTGGGCATTGATCAGTACTGATTAATGTGGAGTGTACTTCTATTTATACATTACGGATGGAAAGGAAATCGGTTGAAACTAAGATGACAACTCGATCACTCAGGCGGATAATGAAGAGCGACCTGTAAGGATGAAATGCAGGAACCTAAAAGTGGCCTGGCTGCCGTTGTACAAAGTGATCTTAGCGCTAAGGTGATCCTTACTCCAATATCTTAGCACAGACTTACAACAGTCGTAGCTTTGAAATTGCTTTGTGCAACGGCACCCTGGAACACGAACCCAAGGAGAGGTCGCCATGCAGGTATTACTGACGATGACAGTGGAACGTCGTCACTCCGTACTGTGTTCCCTATTCCGGTGACATCACAGACACATGACGTCAACTATGAGGTGACAACCAGTCGACGGGGCCCAGCTTATCGTCTAGATCTGTCAGCACTAGGCGGCCGGCATGGTTGTGGGTGGGCGTGTTTCGAGGAACTATGCACATGGGAAATGTCATGGATAATATTTCGTGACAGACAAACAAGTAGCCAAGTTCCCTTCCTTTCTGTTTTCTTCAGTCCTATTTACTTCCATAGCTGTCTTAAACTTAAACATTATGGATAGAACGGAAATCGGTCAGTGTTGCCAAAGTGTTTCCCTTCAACCCAAGATGCTGTAGGCGCATGGCGTGGACGCATACCGGTCTCGAATCCTGTTGCGCTGTTCCTTATCGTTTCCAACCTTACATCTTCTACTACGTCGAGTGGTACAAGCTAGCCTTACCATTTGCTTCACACTTCTTTGTAGTTGATGGCCAGCCCCTGTTTCTGTAGACGTCTCCAAATACATAAGGTGTGGGGGACAAAAGCAACCTACGGACGGCAATGTGGGCAAATGACTCGCAGCCAAATTGCTAACGTTATATTTGGTATGAGAGTCAACAAACGTGTTCAGTGGACTGTGTGTCGGCTTATTTATCAATATTCTACACGTTTGCATGGGTACATCCCCTGCGCCGAACATCTCCAAATCATTGTTTCATCATGTTCGTCTTCTCAACGAAATCCGTACCCGCCATACAGCTGCGCTCCGAATCTCACAATCTCCATGAAAGTCCCTCTCAGTTGTGTCACTAACCGGTAACTAACATGCAACAGTGATATGTGATGTCATATATGAGTTTACAAAGCAATACTGGCGACTAACGGGATCGGGTGTTCAGACTTTCTGACTTGGTTAACACATGTCATCGTATCCCAATTGCGTAGCTCGATGCTCATGCTGTTGATCACTGGATTGTCTGGTTCAGACTCGAATATTTACAGACCGCCGCCATATTAGCTGGAATATTGCTGAGTGCGGCGTAAAACTAAACTCACTCAACCACCCACTCACAAATCAATAATATTCTGATGAATTATAATGGCAGTGCAAAATAGTGGGATTACAAGATTTATGCAATGGCAATATTATATAAAGGCAGTGATTATAGCAAAAATGACATTAATGATAATATTTATCTCGCTACAACATCGGCCAAGCATCCAAAATAACCAGAGACTGGGAGTTCTGGGTGAAAAGTGATCTTCACACCATTGCTGATCTACTTGTAATGTGGAATGACCAAGGCAAGAGTTAGCTCCCCTTAAATACATTAAAAAGCTTCCAGAAGTTTCTTTTACTCTCTGGGTCAGATCACACTGGAATATTTCGACCCAGACCAGCCATGGCTCTCAGTCTAAATATAGTACAGTGTAACCAGTACACCAGTACTCTGCTGTACCTAAACATAAACAACGTATTACAAATACAACACTGTTCCACAGTGAATAACATTTGCCACACAACAGTTGTGCTTTTACCATTATGTGGTACTGTTTTAAAAGATGATAATTATTCAGCAAATTGATATGCCGGTTTGTCACACAAAGGTTGTCAGGCAATGAAATAATTGAAACTCCACTCAAAAATGTTTTATGTGCAACTAACTCTGATAGATATGCTACAGATAACTGATTTAATATACATGTATATAGCTTTTTGTAAAATTGTTTATAAATATGAAAAGAAATACAACAAGTCAATATGTATTCCATGAATAATAACAATGCCATTAGTAAGGGTGAATCTTCTATTCTTTAATGGAACACTCAGCAATGTTCCCGCTATATGACAGAGCTCTGTGAATGTTCGAGCCTGGACCAGACAAACCACTGACCACTCTGACATGCATCGACCAAATCAGTGAGCGCAAGTCTTAGCACGATAGTCGCTACTTACGTCAAGCATGACTTGCTGAAGACGATCCTACCCTGGGCCTCCCTCCCTCTCTCTCACACTCCGCCCTGTGACCGTTATTGTACGTATGGATTGTCTTCTATGAACAAACAACACAGAGATAATACATGTATATAGCTATGGTACCTGGAAACTGTGCAGTCTGGATTAATTGGAACACAAACCATGTAACTTAGTCGTACGAATCTACCTTAAACAAATCATATATTTAACCGGGAGTGGAAATAATTAGATATATAAATTATATGACTAACAGTTCCGACAAACACTAGATTTATATTGAATGAAGTGAATTACTTCGCTTCAGTATTTCATTTAATGTTGGAAGATTTCTGTAAACAGCTGGTGAGAAAGCGGGTAGCGTTCATCATATGTCGGTGAAGATGATGCTATATTTACGCTATCAGTTTCATTGAATTATAAACTGTTCTATGTTAATCAGTATGTCAACATTTACAAATGTTCAGTTTATGTTTTGCAATAACAGGTAGAAAAATAATTAAAAGCAAAACATCCAAAAGGGAAATACAATTTCGATGATCTAATACACACAGAAAATCAAATGATCTGTTTCAGTGGTATTTGAACGGTTACAATGAAGATATATATATATATATACTGATTACTAAACACAAAAGAAACGTCGCCTTTCAAAACCAAATGCCAAATTTTGCTCTTACAAGGTGGTGTTTTTATTATGATTGTACCGTTTTGTTAACACCAGTGAGTTTTATGATGAAAAAGCATATCGACCAAACGCACCGAAAAAGGCAGACATGGTAAAAGGTTCCGTATGGCATTAGTGAAAATGAAAATGCACGTGCATGTCGTGACAACCCTACAAATGAAAGCGTGTCCCAAACTCGCCTGAAGTCATTTTTGTTTTGACACAATCACCATGCCACGACTTACGAGAGATCGGAGGAACCAAGCCTTGGGACGATTGCAAGTTGTCCAGACTGCACGGAGGGTAGCCAGTCATTTTAATGTTCACGTTAGGACAGCAGGAGTGGTATTAAGTCACTAAGAGCCTTCAAGACCGTCAACGGAGTGGGCGACCTTCAGTAACATCACAACGTCAAGAA